GTTGGTCAACTAGACATTCTAGAGAACATAAGTGATCGACGAAACATAAATATTTTGTTTCAAGGCTAAAATACACAAAATATTTTTTGAAATTTAATTACTAATAAAAATGTCATTGAACAGATTAAAAAATGATTTCTTATTTGGAAAAGGGCTTCAAAAAATTGAAATTTAAGAATATGTCCGAAGAACTAATGGAAAATAAAAGAATCACAAAACCCTTAAAGGATTTTAATTTTCTGAAACACAAAATGCATTTAACATTTTTTAGGACCTGCCATGCCTTACAACTTTTCCAAGTGTACAGGTTAGGTGTGCATTCAGAATAAATTTATGGTAACACACAGCAATTTATGCCTAAAGGTTATAAACACTAACATTGTAAATGCATAGACATATTTACACTTTTATGTAAATTTGTCTGCCATTACTTGAAATCACACAAGTTCTCTCAAATTTTGCATCACAGTTTTAAAAATTTGATGTCATAATTGAATAAAATTCTTCGCTGAGCGCAGCTGGATACGACCGCAGAGGTCCAACCCTGAACAGTTGGGGCCAAAATGGACACAATATTCGCGCTTGATACAGGTCTGAATTTGGATTGTAATGAAATATATGACACATAATAGGTTTCTGACACCTAATAACTGTAGTCAAAGAACTTAGAATTGGTTATATGATTTGAATTTATATTCAATGTTTTGCTTTTGTGCAAAACACTATGCTGTTGCGAATTGACCCCCCCCCCACCCAAAAAAAATAATTACCCCCCTTTTTTTGCTTTTGTGAAATACACTATGCTGTTGCATATTGACCCCCCCCCCCCCCCTCCTCTTTTTTTGCAAAAACAAAAAATATATTGAAATTTTCTTTTTAATTTCTGAAATAAAATGAAAAAAAATAATTGCCTCCCACAATTTCTTTTATAGCCCCCTCCTCCCCCCCTTTTTCCAAAAAAAAATTCCTTCTCTCAAGATATGGTCATAATCTCAATTCAAATTTCCAACGTAGTTTGCAACCATAATTACCCATTTAAATACATCATAAAAGTCTTAAATAGATAATTTAAAAGCAGTGTAAGGGAGGTAATCCAACATTGTACAATTTTGTTTTAGGATTACCTCCCTTTCACTGCTTTTAAATTGTCCATTAACCAGGAAACCCTTGTTTTTTCCCCTTTTTTGCCCCTAATTCCTAAACGGTTTGAGGCATAACCCCCCAAAGCCAATCCTAACCATCCCTTTGTGGTATGGAAACTTGTGGTATAATTTCAGAGAGATCCATACACTTAAACACAAGTTATTGTCTGGAAGTTACAAAAATGCTTATTTTTGGCCCCTGATTCCTTAACTGTTGGTACCATAACCCCCAAAATCAATCCCAACCTTCCTTTTGTGGTATTGAACCTTATGGTAAAATTTCATAGAGATCCATTCACTTAAAGTTATTGTTAGAAAACCAATGTGTCTTCAGACAATGAAGACGACGCCGCCAACGTCATACCAATATACGACCGCAAAAATTTTTGCAGTTGTATAAAAATTATTGTTGCAAGACATCAGAAGGTTATTTGGATCAAGATCTAGGGCCATTCAGAGAAAATTCAGCTAAATATCCAAAAATATAATATGTAGAGACAACAACATCTGGGTTACCGCAAGGTGATAGTTTTATTGAGTCTACATGTTTCGCCACTTACGGTGGCGTCTTCAGGACAATTTAAACATAGAAAACAAATACTGAAGTACATAAAATGCGGTGCATATGGGGTTACAAAGGTTAACAAGACGTAACGTCACAATAATTGATTTGACAACTTTAAAATGAAAGTGAAAGTAAAAGTTAATAATGCATTGTCAGTGTCTTTTCCAAAATGGACAACACCTCACAGGACATTCCGTACCATTCCAAAAGGCTTCACTCGGAAAGAGGTACTACTTCCAATTGCGTCGGGAATGTTGTAAGATGTATGGTAGTCGCACATGTAGGGCATGGTGGAAGTTGTGGTGAATTGGTTACATTTTGCGGTTGTGGTACACTATCCATGTTGCAAGTTTATTTCAACAATAATCGTGCGGTTCTGCGGTTCAGTACGTTTTGCGGTGGTCTTCTTTTTCGCGGGTTTTCCTTTTCTTCGAGGTATGGGCGGTTTCTTCAGTGAGGTTGGTGGTAGAATGGAACTGGTCGGTAGACATGAGGCTAACGGTTGTAACTACAACGCAGGACGGCTAAGGTGGATCGTGTGCGGATGCAGGGGTTCACAGAAAAATAAATAATTTGTGACGAGTGAACCAACACCTTCTAACGGAAAAGCTGGTAGAGTAACCAAGATGGATACCGAAGTATGCTGCGGTTGTCTTAAAACCTCATGGAAATATAATATGTAGAGACAACAACATCTGGGTTACCGCAAGGTGATAGTTTTATTGAGTCTACATGTTTCGCCACTTACGGTGGCGTCTTCAGGACAATTTAAACATAGAAAACATATACTGAAGTACATAAAATGCGGTGCATATGGGGTTACAAAGGTTAACAAGACGTAACGTCACAATAATTGATTTGACAACTTTAAAATGAAAGTGAAAGTAAAAGTTAATAATGCATTGTCAGTGTCTTTTCCAAAATGGACAACACCTCACAGGACATTCCGTACCATTCCAAAAGGCTTCACTCGGAAAGAGGTACTACTTCCAATTGCGTCGGGAATGTTGTAAGATGTATGGTAGTCGCACATGTAGGGCATGGTGGAAGTTGTGGTGAATTGGTTACATTTTGCGGTTGTGGTACACTATCCATGTTGCAAGTTTATTTCAACAATAATCGTGCGGTTCTGCGGTTCAGTACGTTTTGCGGTGGTCTTCTTTTTCGCGGGTTTTCCTTTTCTTCGAGGTATGGGCGGTTTCTTCAGTGAGGTTGGTGGTAGAATGGAACAGGTCGGTAGACATGAGGCTAACGGTTGTAACTACAACGCAGGACGGCTAAGGTGGATCGTGTGCGGATGCAGGGGTTCACAGAAAAATAAATAATTTGTGACGAGTGAACCAACACCTTCTAACGGAAAAGCTGGTAGAGTAACCAAGATGGATACCGAAGTATGCTGCAGTTGTCTTAAAACCTCATGGAAATATAATATGTAGAGACAACAACATCTGGGTTACCGCAAGGTGATAGTTTTATTGAGTCTACATGTTTCGCCACTTACGGTGGCGTCTTCAGGACAATTTAAACATAGAAAACAAATACTGAAGTACATAAAATGCAGTGCATATGGGGTTACAAAGGTTGTTGTTGTCTCTACATATTATATTTCCATGAGGTTTTAAGACAACCGCAGCATACTTCGGTATCCATCTTGGTTACTCTACCAGCTTTTCCGTTAGAAGGTGTTGGTTCACTCGTCACAAATTATTTATTTTTCTGTGAACCCCTGCATCCGCACACGATCCACCTTAGCCGTCCTGCGTTGTAGTTACAACCGTTAGCCTCATGTCTACCGACCAGTTCCATTCTACCACCAACCTCACTGAAGAAACCGCCCATACCTCGAAGAAAAGGAAAACCCGCGAAAAAGAAGACCACCGCAAAACGTACTGAACCGCACGATTATTGTTGAAATAAACTTGCAACATGGATAGTGTACCACAACCGCAAAATGTAACCAATTCACCACAACTTCCACCATGCCCTACATGTGCGACTACCATACATCTTACAACATTCCCGACGCAATTGGAAGTAGTACCTCTTTCCGAGTGAAGCCTTTTGGAATGGTATGGAATGTCCTGTGAGGTGTTGTCCATTTTGGAAAAGACACTGACAATGCATTATTAACTTTTACTTTCACTTTCATTTTAAAGTTGTCAAATCAATTATTGTGACGTTACGTCTTGTTAACCTTTGTAACCCCATATGCACCGCATTTTATGTACTTCAGTATTTGTTTTCTATGTTTAAATTGTCCTGAAGACGCCACCGTAAGTGGCGAAACATGTAGACTCAATAAAACTATCACCTTGCGGTAACCCAGATGTTGTTGTCTCTACATATTATATTTCCATGAGGTTTTAAGACAACCGCAGCATACTTCGGTATCCATCTTGGTTACTCTACCAGCTTTTCCGTTAGAAGGTGTTGGTTCACTCGTCACAAATTAAATATCCAAAAGTTTAAATACATCTATTAATATTGAAGTTGGGAAAATAATAATAAAATATGTTTATCAGTTGAGTTATACTTACTCGCTATTATCTTAATAATTTCTGATAATATCAATAAAATGTCATTCAAACTAAGTAATAAATGATGCCAGTGTATCAAACTTGTAATCTGTCATTTCAAATTTGTCATAGTGGCATTCATTTCATCACAGAAGTGTACACAATGCAAACAGGGTAATAAAAAAAAATTTCACAAACCATTATAAAACACTTCACATCAAATAAATCACACTTATATTGGTCATTTTATATGAAAAAATATATCTTCTTTACGATCAAACTTATGAATTCATTGTATTTGTTTAAACATTTGGAATTATGTGGTTAATTTATTGAGCAGTTCCGATAGTTTTTCAATCCATAGCTTTCAAAATCCATAAATCTCGTGAAGTCTCATAAAGTTTGAGATTTTATCAATTTTATACTGAAAAGCCTATCAGATTCATTTCCCATTAGGTATACTGTTCCCAGTGTACACTGACATTACAAATTATGAATAGCAAAACTAATTTTTTGATACAAGTGGGATCATGTAGCTGCGGAACCGTACCTCTAAGATCTATGGTACACTTATTGTCAAAACTTATCATTAGGACTATAAAAGCTATTGTTCTGCAGCTAAGGATCATGCAGACATTGCCTTGGAGCGTCTGAAAATGTTTCAATAAAAAGTACAATAAATAAAATACCTAACTTCAAGGAAAATTAAAACAAAAAGTTCTTTATCAAATGGAAAAACCAAAAGCTCAAACCAATGGAAAACAACTGCCATATTTCTGACTTGGTATAGTCTATAGACTATAGTGTACAGGAAAAATCAAAGATAGAAACCGATACTCAACTGGTGACTTATGATATCACTTCCCTTTACACAAATCTAAGATTTAGTGAAATTATGGACGCTTTGACAGGCATTTCCTAAGTTGGTGAAAATGGTGGATTAATAAGTTTTTGATGTTTATCACAAGCGTGTGGTGAGTGAAATGTGGAATATTTTAAGGTGTAACCTCAACGTTTGAGAGTTGTAATTACATAATTGAAGATGTTATGTATCAGTTTTTTTTAGGACTTGTCCTTGAACAAGACCATTTGTGTTTACTCCTCACACTGTAGACTTTTCAATGATAATTTTTTATTATGCAGTTGGTTTTTTTTTACAAATAGTTTATTCGTTATCATTTTTATATGGGTAATGCATTTTCTGTGTTGCGATAGAGCTTATTACGTTGTATAATATTTTTCACCTCAGAAGCTGTGCCATAATTCGGTTTTCTCCCTTGTTATCTGGTATTCATTTTGATCCTCCCTTTAGTGTATCGCTCATTGAAACAAGTGCGTGTAGGAACCAGTTTAAGTTTGATAATCACTTTAGTAAAAAAAAATTATGAAATTAACAAGAACGAAGGCCAGTAATCAATTATAGCAACTCTTAATAATTTTTATTTCACTGTTGGTGAGAATATAACAAAAAATATGCCCTTTGAAATCAAATAGTTCGTATTTTTGAAATCTTTAGTTCCTCTTTCTTTTAGTCACCCCATTCTCCAAATTCTCGCGTGATCTTCAAAAGAGCGCCAGAAATTTGAAGAAGAGAAACTACAAATGAAGTCAAAACTCTTTATTTTTTCGCAGACATTTCACAAAAGAAGAAAATAATTGTAGAATTTTCATATTTCAACACTGTAGGTTCTGAATGTTCCTTCTCTTGCAATGCATAAACGAAAACACCACACTTTTCCCAATATCGTCTGCTTTCAAAAGTTCAAGGATGACAGACGAGAATCCCGCCCTATTTTGACACAAAAAAGTAGTTACTAATATCAGAAGAAAATATACAGCACATCTGATCAAAGGTGCCTTATGGTCTATCTAAAATGTGGAGTTGACGTAAATACGTCAGTAACCGAACCTGACAAGTTTTTCTCCTCGCTGAAATAGTTTTTTTTGCATCTGTTAAAGCATTACAAAACAAAGAAAAAATAATTCTATTAGGTTGCTGAAACTTCAATGTTTGACCCCTTTGGCCAATATACTTGAGCCTACAATAATTGATGTTGAAATCTATTGAATAGGTGTCTTATCTCTAGTCTACAAATTATATTCCAAAGCTGGTATCTTTGATGACTAAGTTTTGCAACTCGATCAAATATTATATCAGTTATCACTTGTACTCGTCCAATTTGCCAATCCTTAAGCACCCGGATTTGTTTTGAACTGATTCCAGTTTGCCTTTGGTATCCATTATTTTGTTTGAATTCTGTCAAGGTTCAGCCAGGTGTGTTTTCGCAAGGTTTTGCATAGCTTTAGACAGAATCGGGTCCGTTCCCCCTGATTCACATGCGCCCTGGTACCTGTTAGCCCTTATACCTATTCACACTAGTATATGTTCGCCCTTATTTTTACATTATTTTGTTGTCTTGTTGTTTAACGATATAATTTGAATACAGTAAGTTAAAACGTGTTGTTTTCAATTTTTTAAAGTTTGTTGAAAATTTCGCCACTTTTAAGGAGCACTGCCAAATTTTCTATAAAAAAATAAAATACTAAAAAGACACTATCACACAGCCATTCACCCTACATTTCTACACCATGATTTACTAAATAATCCACTTCCATGTATAAAAAATTTGTCAAAACAAAATTAAGATTAAAGAAGCTAAGTTGCCAAAAAAAGTCCCTTTCATGTCTTACAATTCGTACGTTATTGTTTTTACTCATTCCAAGCTAACTTGTTTTTTATTTTGAAAATGTTATTTTCATTATTAATCCAACTAAGACAATTTACACAACAATCAGTGAGATCGAAGACATCATAATTATAACTAATCACCATTCTAAATTACAATTAACAGTCATTTAAAGTAATTCTAAATGAAAACAAATGTAACAATGAATCCAATCAATGCTTCCTAGCAAGTAATTTATTTTTAAATATTTCGATTCATATTTTCTTCATGACATAATTTCTTTAATATTTACCATATTTTCTTTTATAAAAGTAGAGAGAACAGACTCTATGGTAGAACGGTTAATAGACCTTATAGTATACCCTGTAGACTGTGATAATGGTCTCCCTTGCAGATTAACATATTGTGTATAGATTTCAAACTGGTATAAACTCATTTGTTGGGATTGTCTAAGTGGCAACATGTTTGATATTAAAGTACAGTTTAAAAAAAAATAATCAAATTGATCGGACACACCATGTTAGCATGGTTAGAGTTTAGTTCAAGATACAGAAGAGATCTTTTTTATGGCCCCACAACAAAGTCATTCCGCAACAAACCGTTATACACAATTTTTTTTCTAAACGCCTTCAGATATTGGGCTGATTTTTGGTATGTGAGTTAACCATGATGAGTTACAGATCAAATTTAAGTTTCGTTCCGCTCTGCTAATTTTTGCTGGAAATTACGGGCTTAGGACTTTGATAAATTGTTGAAAATCACAGTTATACAGACTTTTTTTCTAAACGCCTTCAGATATTGGGCTGATTTTTGGTATATGAATTAACCATGATGATTTCCAGATCAAGTTTAAGTTTCGTTCCGCTCTGCTAATTTTTGCCGAAAATTATGGGCTTTGAACTTTGATAAATTGTTGAAAATCACAGTTATACAGATTTGTTTCTATACGCCTTCTGATATTGGGCTGATATTTTGGTATGTGAGTTAACCATGTTGAGTTACAGATCAAGTTTAAGTTTCGTTCCGCTTTACTAATTTTTGCCGAAATTACGGACTTTGGACTTTGATAGATAGTTTGAAATTTAACTACTCATTGATAAAGGAAATTTTTTATCAAACTAGTATTGGTCTTGAGAACTGGATACTATCCATGCATGTTTGTGTCCACATGTGTTGTTGAAAGTGCAGATTTTTCAACTCTTTGAGACAGGGCCTTTTGTGTCGTTTTGACACACCTAGTTTTATCTTTTGTTGGGTTGTTTCTCCCAAAATCAACTGTCCCTGGTTTTTTTTATGCCCCTGCTGCAGCGGGGTGGCATTAAGTGTTACCCTTGTCCGTCTGTAAGTCTACGAGTTATGTCCCTTTATAATGTTATATAGGGGCATCATCTGTTTCCCATGGACATATTCTCCATTTATTTATTACTGATTCGCCCATTTTTTGGATTATGATGCATTTAATTTTCTTGACCCTCCTAACTATGGACATTTTTTGACGCAATATAATTACATTCGTATATTGTTTTATTTTCTCTCCAACTTGCCTTACAACTTTAAATATTGGGCTTGACTGCACATTTGCTAATTTTATATATCCATTTAATTTGAATAAAGTGAATAATAGCAATCATCAGGAATAATGAAAATTAGACCAAAAGAGAAAAAGTCCCAACATTTTGAATAATACTTGACAAAGTTGCACCATATTTGATGATCAAGATAAATACAGGTAATAACTTGTTAAGTGAAACATATTATTTAAATACTGTATTTCCTCATTAAAATTTACTTCAAAGTATGAATAACTAATGAATAACTGATGCAAATTTTAAAAATACAAAAGTAACAATATTTTATTACTTGGGAATCAGTGGCTGAGTGCAAACATTTACAACACCCTTAATAGTCTACATTCGGTAAAAAATTTCTCTACCTTTGGCTACCTACAATGTACAAATGATGTACATACCCTATTCTGAGAAGCATGAAGGAACCATACAATATTTTTTTTTTGGATTTTGTTTATAATTATGACTTGTTAGAGAGTTTTGCATTTCATTTTGGTTTTTCTTTTTCTTAGATTTACTGTACATGCATGTGACATGTAAGGCCTAAAAATATTATACAATAATTGCTAACATGTAAAAATAAATAGGGTAGGTAGGAAGGCAAAATATTATATTTTTATGCCCCCGCCGTAGGCAACAGGGGCATTAAGTGTTACCGTTGACCTTCTGTACGTCCCATTTTTGTTTCCACACTTGAAGTAAGTTTTCCTCATCCAAATTTCATGAAACTTGTACACAATGCTAAAAACCAAAACTCGCTGACTGAGTTCGATTTTAGGCAGTGAGTCACCGTTCTAAAGTCCCTTATAACTAGGAAAATTGCATAGTGTTTCATTTCCGCACTCTAACGAGTTTTCCTCATCCAAATTTTATGAAACTCATACATAATGCTAAGAACTACAACATGCAGATAGAGTTTAAATTTTGCAGTATGTCATCAACTGCTCTAGAGTTGTGCTCCTTTATAACTTGGAAAATGGCAATTCTTCGTTTCCGCACTCTTACTTAAGTTATATTAATAGACTTATTTAATCCTAAGCTCTAATGGTTCTTGAAATGGTTAAAGTTTAACTAGACGATAAAAACAATTCAATTTTATTTCAATTCAAAGGCCTTAACCTAAACTCATATGTAGCAAGTTTCTTGAAATTTTAATGTTAAGGAAATTATTGAACCAATAACAAAATAAGAAGATGTGGTATGATTGACAATGAGACATCTCACCACCAGAGACCAAATGACATAGAAGTTAACAACTATAGGTCACTGTCAGCCTTCAACAATGAGCAAAACCCATACCAATGAATAGTAAGTGAGATGATAGACATGCAATAGAGTGATGATTAATATTTATTATGCCCCTGCTGCAGTGGAGGGGGCATTAAGTGTTACCCCTGTCTGTCTGTAAGTCTGAAATTGGTTTCTTTTCTCTAACTTTAGTTTGCCTCAACCAAATGTTATGAAACTTATACACTATGCTTATTACCACAAAACACAGATCAAGTTTGAAATTGGGTGGCTTCACTTTTATCTTTCTAGAATTATGCCCTTTAAAAATAGAAAAAAATGCTGAATTTTTTGTTTCCGTTCTCTAACTTAAGTTTGCCTCAACCAAATGTTATGAAACTTCTACACAATGCTTATTACCACAAAACTCAGATCAAATTTGAATTTGGGTGGTGCACTTTTACCGTTCTTGAGTTATGTCCCTTTATAACATTATAATGTTATATATCATAACAGTTGTTAAATTTATGATTTGGTGTATTAAAATCTTTCTTTCAAAATTAACTTCCACATTTGTTTACCTTTTCTTTCATCACTGTTTTTCTCTCACATGTGTGTGGTGCAGTTGCCAAAGTACTAACAAGAGGTCACAGGGTTAAGGTGACTGCATATGGAAAAGCTATCACCATTTTAGAGTATGGAAAGACAAAAATTCAATAGCAGTCAGTACATTTATGAAGATTTTGATCAGATTAAGGATTTACTTTTAAAAGAAAGATCATGTACACATGTTTTATAGTTAAAACTGTAACATTAAATGTACATAAAACATATTCAACTTTTTATGCCCCACTTATGATAGTAGAGGGGCATTATGTTTTTCGGTCTGTGCGTTCGTTTGTCCGTTCGTCCATCTGTCCCGCTTCAGGTTAAAGTTTTTGGTCAAGGTAGTTTTTATACGCCCGTTTACGGGACGTATTATGGTATACCTCTGTCCGTCGTCAACATGTCGGACATTAACTCAAAAATGCTTTAACCAATTTGCATAAAACTTTGGTGAATTGTTTATATATATTGACGTGAGCTCCTTTTCGTTTTTAAAAAATTTAGATTTTACATTTCTGAGTTATGGGGTTTTATTTATTAAAAAAAGGGGGATTTTCCAGTTTTCGGACAATAAGTCAAGAATGCTTTCACCAACTTGCAAGAAATTGTGGTGAATTGTTTATATCTATTGACATGAGCTCCCTTTCGATTTTTATAAATTTTAGATTTTACGTTTCCGAGTTACAGGGTTTTATTCATAAAAAAAGGGGGGATTTTCTAGTTTTCGGACAAAAACTCAAAAATGCTTTCAGCAATTCTTATGAAACTTTGGTGAATTATTTGTATGTATTGATGTAAGCTCCCTTTAGAATTTTATAAATTTTACATTTTACATTTCTGAGTTATGGGGTTTTATTCATTAAAAAAAGGGGTGATTTTTCAGTTTTCAGACAATAACTCAAAAATGCTGTCACCAATTCTCATGAAACTTTGGTGAATTGTTTATATCTATTGATGTAAGCTCCCTTTTTATTTTCATAAATTTCTAATATGTCATTGAGAATTAATTGAACTTTATTTGTTTATAGTCTGACAACAGATTTACTAAGTATTGCACAACAGCAAGAAATCTTTAATTGAATATAAATTCAATTCATATAACCAATTTCCAGTTCTTTGACTACATTTATTCAGAAACCTATAATATGTCAAATATTTAATTACAATCCAAATTCAGACCTGAATCAAGCTTGAATATTGTGTCCATTTTTGCCCCAACTGTTCAGGGTTGGACCTCTGCGGGCGTATCTAGCTGCGCTCAGCGAAGCAGTTTATTGATGAAGTTGAAGTCCAATCAACTTGAAACCTAGTACACATGTTCCCTATGATATGATCTTTCTAATTCTAATGCCAAATTAGAGTTTTGACCCCAATTTCACAGTCCATTGACCATAGAAAATGATAGTGCAAGTGCATGGGGCATCTGTGTACTATGGACACATTCTTGTTTTTTTTTGATTGAGATATCATATGACTAAGTTTTAATAATAATCCAAATATGCTGTGTAATACATTGTTCCATATAAAAATGATTTAACCAGTGACTGAAAACAAAATCATTACTGATTCACAATACTTAATCTAATATATCGATGTAGATAATTAAATTTTTTCATTTATACTATATAACATGTATTTTTCAGATGCCAGTTGACCAGATATCGTACTCAGAAAAATACTTTGATGATAAATATGAATACAGGTAAAGTCTGATTTCAAAATATTTTTTTTCTTCAATACAATAGTTGTAAAAGATAATATAGCTAATTATATTATAAAAGACATAGTTCCTTATGTCTGAACTTTTTCAGAGTCAAGACCTGCAGGGGTCGACTTAAGCACTGGCCCACTGGCCCAAGGCCAGTTGAACATAAAGACTAAATGCCCCATTGGCAATTACATTTGACTATATGTTCACTTATATAGTATTATTAGGGCAATTTTTTTTTGAGTTGGGCCAGTAAATTTACACTCTAACTGGCCCTATTGGCCATACTTTTAAATTTTGTTAAGTCAACCTCTGACCTGTATCAATGATTATGAAAGCAAACTGACAATATTAATGCAACCTAAAAACTCCAATGAAAACAGTTGATGATTTATTTTTCATTTTTATCTCAAAATTGTAAATCACAAAGGGATTTCCAGACAAAACAATTAGTTTGAAATGTAGTTCTTACAATTTTTAGCTCACTTGGCTGAAAGGGCCAGTGTGGGCTAGTTCATCTAATTTTTGTGTCAGTTTTCTGTCTTATATTTAATGGGATATAATAACCAGTTTGGGCTAATTTGTCTCCAAAAGAAAAATTGTTTTTTGTATGTCCTTAAGAAACATAATATTATATATTGTAGTCTGTCTGTATGTCAGGACTTCGTACAATAACTCAAATTTGCTTTGAACAATTCCCATGCATTTTAAAAGAGAGGTGAAAGATACCAAAAGGACATTCAAACTCAAGTTGAAAATAAACTGACAACCCCATGGCTAAAAAAGAAAAAGACCCAACAGACAAAGAACAGTACACAATACACATAAAAAACTAGACTGCGCAACATGAACCTCACAAAACTAGGGGTGATCTCAGGTGTTCTGGAAGGGTAAGCAGATCCTGCTCCACATGTGGCACATGTCGTGTTGCTCATGTAACTACAAACCTGGTGATAAGTCTAATTTGTTAGGTCTCATTCGAGGAAAATGGGAACAGGATTGTAGTTTTTGACAATTGGAACATATCCGTCGTCATCTGCGAAACAGATATTCAATAAAGGTCAACCAACTTGTGATGGCGTCCATAAAATTTACAAAGGGATGATTTCAACTTCACCACTTGGAACTCGTGGTTTAATAAATTCCTTATGAACAGCAACCCTCTATCAAGGAAATCATGATAGGAAATACAAGTCATGGAATATCATATCAATGGGAGATATATACTTGTATGCAGGCACTGCTGAAATGTTGCTACATAGAAATGAAAAGTTCACAATTAGCAGACTACACGAATGAATTTTTTTTTTACAGGACATTCGGTCTGGTAAACAACCTAGCTTTACCAGACCAATTTTACATCTAATTGTATATTATCCGACAAAATACAACAAACTTATGACTTGTTGTGCCCTACTCTTCTCCAAAATGCACAAAAACAAAATCATGTGACAAGAGTAAAATATATTTTGATGAAAGTTGTGCACAATTGCTTTAATGCATTTCAGTGATAAAGAAAAGTTATGTCACATTTTATTGGATTTTGACATGAAAATTATTTGTGAACTTAAAATAATTTAGAGTTTCTGTATGAAATATTTCCTGTATCTTCTTCCTTTTAATATATCTTTTGGTTTTCAATTCTAGTGTTTATATTTAATAGCTGTATTTTGTGAACCTGCTTGGATTTTTTTTATTTATTTATGTATTTGATCGGCAAACCCGGAATTGGCCTTATTCGTTCCCGGAATCTGATCCGGTATTGTCTATATTTCCGTTTGATGGCAGCCATTGTTGTTTTTGTCAGTCAGATATGATTTTACTCGGATTTACACATTACTTGTTGGCGATTTTCGGCATAAAGCTAGCGGTTGAACAAAATAAACATCGCTGTCATGAATAGTAAAGATGAAAATGAATTTTGAGATCGTTTGGGAATTTTGCTCCCAAAATTGGGAAAAATGTAGGGTTATTAGAAAAATCCACAAAAAAACAACACCGGACATTCGGACCAGATTCAACAAAATTTTACCAAACCGATCCATTATTCACCGGATTTGTCCGAAGGTTCGACGAATTTCGTGTAGTCTGCAATTAGGAAGCTGAAATCATCTCTATTGTCGTAAAGTTTTGTTTTCAACCTACCCTTACTGTCAATTTCTAGATGTAAGTCAAGATATGAGGCAGACTTAACTGTATCTGTTGTATCCTTTATCTCAAGTTTGATGGGATAGATGTGTTCAACATAATCACCAAAATTTGAATTATTTAGTGAGAGAACATCATCTATATAGCAGAAAGTGAAGTTAAAGGATACTGCTAACTTCTTTTCTTTCTTCCTTAGAAGTTTCCTGTGTAAAGTCAGCCGCATATGAATTAACACATCATTGTATTAATGGGAAAAAGCTCCTTTTCAATTTTAAACATTATTTGGTCTTTCATTCCAGTTACGGAACTTTTTAATATCAAATTTAAGTCACATTTGTCACATAAGGCACACTAACTAAGCTTAGATCAATCTTTTTATCCCTGTCTGCTGTCATTATAGTTTCTATTGCAAAATACCAAAATTTTCTTCACTGTACCTTAAATTTTCATGCCTATCCTAACACACGCTGTTCCAGGAGCATGCCATATGCTGATTCATCTGTTGACGCTGCCAACTTTTCACTATCTTAGATGGTTATTAAAAATTTGTTATTTCTATTATTTGAATACAATATTTAACTAATTTTACAGACATGTTATACTGCCACCTGATATTGCTAAGAAAGTTCCAAAGAATCATTTAATGACAGAATCTGAATGGAGGAATCTTGGTGTACAACAGTCTCCAGGCTGGATTCATTACATGGTTCATTCTCCAGGTAATTTTATGTTTAAAATAATAACATTGCAAAGTTCAATACTTACAAAAGAAATAAAGAACTAGCTAGGAATTGCTGTGGATACTATTGTAAACAACCTAGTAGAATTTATCATCTATTTTTTTTTTGCTGCAAAACCACTCAAAAATATACCAAAACATTGTTGCAAAACAAAAACCACAACTTGGCCTCATCTTCACTGAAACAACTCAGCTAATGATAATCAAATCTTAACTTTAAGGAATAATATAAGGAAGTTTTTTTTTCTTGTGGAAGTTACTTTATATATTCATGATATTGTTGATGCATGTACTTTTCATTTACTGACCCCTGCACAACACATTGCGGGGGTCTTGGATATACCGGGCATCTGTCCATCGGATCTTGTTGGCACTGCAAATGTTTGTGAAATTTATATCATAGGTTTATATCAGCAATGTCTTGGACAAGTTAGAAAATCAGTGATGATGAATTATTTTTAAAAGAGTTATGCCCCTTGGAATTATTAATTATATGAACAATTGTCTTTTTAGAGCTTTAACTTGTACAATTCTTGCCTGATTTATATGAAATATGTAGCATAAGTTTAAATCAGCAATGTCTCTGACAAGTTTGAAAATCTGTGCAAATCAATTAATTTTAAAAGAGTTATGCCCTTGGAAATATTGAAAATATGGAAAATTGCATTGAAAGTGATCTCATGTGTACAATTCCAGCCAAATTGTTATGAAATTTATAAAGTTTTATATCAGCAATGTCTTGGACAAGTTCTAAAATCAGTGCAGATCAATTATTTTTAAAAGAGCTATGCCCTTGGATATATTGATTATATGGAAAATTCCATTTTAAATCTCGTGTGTACAATTCTTGCCAGATAAATATTGGGTTTATATCAGCAATTTCTCTAATAATTTCGAAAAATCAGTGCCCATCAACAATTTTTAAAAAGAATTATGTCCCTTGGAAATATTAATTGTATGGAAAATTGCAGTGAGAGGTTTCAAACCTTCATTTTTCTAAGATATTTATAAAAAATGTTTTCAGCGAACCAAAATTTTTTTTAGCTCACCTGGCCTGAAGGGCCAAGTGAGCTTTTCTCATCACTTGGCGTCCGTCGTCCGTTGTCGTCGTTATCTTTTTACAAAAATCTTCTCCGCTGAAACCACTGGGCCAAATTTAACCAAACTTGGCTACAATCATCATTAGGGTATCTAGTTTAAAAATTGTGTCCGATGACCCCGCCAACTAACCAAGATGGCCGCCATGGCTAAAAATAGAACATAGGGGTAAAATGTAGATTTTGGCTTATATCTCTTTTAAAGCATTTAGAGTAAATCTGACAAGGGTAAAACTGATTATCAGGTCAAGATCTATCTGCCCTGAAATTTTCAGACAAATCTGACATTCTGTTGGGTTGCTGCCCCTGAATTGGTAATTTTAAGGAAATTTTGCAGTTTTTGGTTATTATCTTGAATATTATTATAGATAGAGATAAACTGTAAACAGCAATAATGTTCAGCAAAGTAAGATCTACAAATAAGTTGTCATGACCAAAATTGTCAGTCAACCCCTTTAGGAGTTATTGCCCTTACTAGTCAATTTTTAACAATTTTTTGTAAATTTTTGTAATCTTTTACAAAATTCTTCTTCTCTGAAACTACTGAGACAAATTTAACCATACTTGGCCATAATCATTATTAGGGTATCTAGTTTAAAAAATTTGTCCGATGACCCCGCATTCCAACCATCATGGCGGACTTGGTTAAAAATAGAACATAGGGGTAAAATGCAGTTTTTGGTTTATATCTCTGAAACTAAAGCATTTAGAGCAAATCTGACAGGTGGCAAAAATGTTCATCAGATTTAGATTTATCTGCCCTGAAATTTTCAGACGAATCCGACAACCCGTTGTTGGGTTGCTGCCCCTGAGTTAGTAATTTTACAAAATTTTTGCAGTTTTTTGTTATTATCTTAGATATCATTATAATATCTAATATCTAATACTATTAATTATGATTTTAACCTTATTTTACATGATTTCCAAAGTTTCAGTAAATACAGGTGAGCGACACAGGCCCTTGAGAGCCTCTAGTTTTTTTAGTTATTGTCCTGGGACAGATAAAATATGTGTCAAGTAGGGGGACAATGGAATAGTGTTCTGTAATTTAACCTAAGCATCTAACTCTGACTTAACTGAAAAGTCGAGAGTAGTGATATATTGTCAATCTGTGTTAAAAAAAACAGACCTAGATACAAAAATAGGTGAGTTATATTTTTGAGATGAATTGCCTGTTTATATTTGTATATATATCTGAATGTTTTATTTCAGAACCACATGTATTGCTATTCAGAAGACCTTTACCAAATTCAACCAGTATACCAATGAATGTTCAAGGAATAGCTACAGCAGTACAGTAATTAATGAAGTTGACGTTGTCAGTCGGATGATCGAAGATGGAGTGTTTATAACCTGCAATTTCCAAAGAATTTAAGAAAACTTGTGCTCATCACTGGAAATTTCTTGTGCAAATATTAGAGAAAAGTCTAAAGATGGGTGGTGACTTTTTTCATTAGCTATAATTAGGAAACAAAAAAGATGTTTTAGCTAGATTAATTGTTTTTAGAGGCTATTGAATCTGTTCCATTTGATCAAAGTCCAAAGGCAGTTTAAAAATATCCTGGTACAAATCCTAGGTTGCTTGTATTGGTTAGAAATGACTTCTTGACTAAGGTTCTTATTGCAGTTGTTATTACCTTTAACTGCCTATTCATACATTTTTATTTCATTTTCTGTAGTGTGAATTTAAAACTTTTGTATCCTACTTTTATAGCAAAGCTCTTGTGCTAATTGCTTTGTGATTAAAGTAGACTGCCAGCAGAGTTATGTTTTTTATTTATTGTTTTAAATCTTTAGACTACTAGGATATTGCTGACTACATAATAATACAAAATAAAGTAAACTGATTTTCAGTTTTTTGTCCTGGCTGAATTCATAGTTTTCTAATTCAGTAGTCTGCTAATTTCTTTCAATATTAACTGTAAATATCAGAGAACTACTTAATGACATATTAAGGTTACCTGAAAGGATAAGAAAAACTTTTTAAAAGAAACTGGACCTAAAAGAAGCAAATTGGGAAGATCAACAATACTTAAATTTTTATGTCGCCTAATATTCATCCAACCAATGAACAGTAAGAAAACAGTTGTAAAGGTGTTATATCCACCAAGACTTATTTAATTTTCATACTTTCCATTCTTCATGAAGATTTCTGGTTATGCAATGTACAAGGGTCTGGATGAGGTTTACAAAACAGAGAATAATGGACCAATACTGCAGAAATATTTGCCAAAAGAATAGAGAAAAATGGCATAAAAAATAAAGAATACAGAAATGAAGAACACCCCATCCAGACCCTCATGTACATTGCATTTGTTATTGGACCTAACTTGTGTTTATGAAAAAGACATCAATGCAATTGACTTTAATTATTTAAAAAAAATGATGTCTGTAATTAAACTTACTATAAAGTAAAAAAAACTAAAACCTTGTGCATTTACTTTTTTAGATATTGTGTTTATTGTTATAATGTTAGAGAGTAAGTAACATTGTTCATGTCTTCAATTTTTCATGACAAATAATGATATGTATAAAACTATTTTGGTATTTTTATGATGTAATATTTAAATTTGTAATGTTGAAATATTTTTTGGATTAAATTGCTACAAATCTTGTTCACCTTTTTTTCAAAAGAATTGTTACAAATGTTTGTTCTGGTACAAACAGTGTATAAGGCCTTGTGTAGTTATTTCGTGTTCATGTTAAACGTTGTATGTTGTTATACACGTTATAAGACCTTGTGTAATGTAATCAAATTTGGCTTTTGTTTTCATTAATGATATGATTATTTTCTTCGTAAATTACCTTGTGTCCTTTTAGTCATATTAGTCATATTTTTACTATTTTCCTTTTAGTAATTTTAAAGAAAACTATGTTATTATAATGATTATTATTTTAAAATGATAATTTACATTGTGGTTTTAAGACTTCTTTTTATGGTTTTACCTACACTGTGTTGCTGGTTAAAATATTCAATGCAAATGTTCTTGTGACAAAAAGCAAAAACAAAGAAATAATAAAAAGAAATAAAAAAATTATACCAAAATGTCACTTATCAGATTTCACTAAAGAATAAATTATTATTCTTAGAAATTTCTATAAAATGGCCAAGTGACCTTTGTGCAAGTAGCTTGACCATCCTTTAGAAAATAGATACTGATTTGTCCATAATAAGAGTAAAGTATGAATTAATATTAAAAAAATCAAACAAATACATACTTTCATGCATTTTTATTATAGACTTTTTTAACAGTGTTAATTCAAAAACATTTGAACTCCCTATGCATGGCCATTAGATTAAAAAAAATCATTATATTTCTTATAATCCTTTTTTGCTTTTTTTATATGTAGCTTTAAAAAAAAGGTGAAACTGAAGACATTTTTTTTGCCTTCTCATTTTATTATTATTGTATTATTACTAACATAAGATTGTCTTTTAAAGATGACGATAAAAAAAAAATCAACAGAAATGTGACCAAAAGTAAAAGGGTTAAGTTAAGATCACTTCATCTTTGACTCGACACATGAAATTTCAGTTATTAGCAAAGTTTAGCTTTCAAAGACAGATAATTAATAACTTGTAAAGAAAATTTATATACCTTCCCTGTACTCTTGTATGCATTTTTGGGTAAAGATTGCATGAAATGTAATCAAAACCATATGGTACTGATTTGATATCAATATTTTCCAAGGTTTATCATTACCTTTGATAGTTCAAACAAAATAGTGCAGTGAAGTGATCATTATTTAGATCCTGTCAGTCAATGTCATGCAATTTATTGATGATATGTTATACTTTGATATTTGATATTTAAGTTACAATATGATGTGTATTTGAATTACAATACTTGTCAAGAAAACATTTTAATATTAAAAATAACATAAGTAATGCATGGTGTATGAATCTCTTATAAAAATAGGTTCAACTACAAATGTAAAATCATGAACAAAGAAAGATAGCTCCATCTAAAAATTTTAATTTGCCCAGCAAAATATGATTCAATGTTTTATTTAAAATTCTCAAAATTGCAAAATGAAAGCAATCTTTACTCTTTCAGTGCTCACAAGCACTTTGATTTAGACTGTACTACTTGATATATACTTTCTGGACATGCATGAAATTTTGCCATTGTATTTTTAAGAAACCAACAGCCCTATTTTAACTGTGAATTTACTGTCATATGAAATTTACTTTGACACTTGAATTGATTTTACTTGCTGAAAATACATTTAAGTTAGAAAAGCAATAATTTTTGTATGTTCATAAATGAATCTTCCTTATTTTGTTAATGTTTGTAGTTTATTGAGGTATACTGATAATAATGATCTAAATGTTTAAAAATTAATTGCATTTACATAACTTGCAGTGTTTCTTCTATGGAAAAATTGTTTATTGTAAAAACGTCAACATTCAAGTATTTCCTGTACTAGTGCATGATTAAGAGTTTTAAAAAAATTGTTAAGTTAATTAGAAAGACATTCTGATATAAAGATGTTTTTGAAGTTTGAAGGACTTCAGGTTGTGTTAGTTTCAGTAATTTGTAAATAGACTGTTATTTTATTTCATTTTATCTCATTCAATAAAGTAATTTATTGTTCACTTGGTGTGTATGCATTTATTTCCATGATTTTTGTCTCGCCTGCGCCATAGGGATTGCTTTTCCGGCGATGGCGACGAATATGATGGCGTCAACAATTGTTAAGATTTCTGCTTAAGTTAGCTTGATAGGAACTACTTGTGATAGATCAATGATATCTTGTATGAAGTTACATTACAATCAGTACATATCAGTTCTATTACTATTTTGAGGCCCTGCCCTCTAGGCCATGATTCAATTAATTAGCAATTTTCAATGGTAAGTTTTCTGCTTAAGTTTGTTTGATATGAACTACTTACAATAGACAATATTTTCTATAAAGTTACATTGTTGTCTGTATATCTCAGTTTGTCAACCATTTCAAGGCCCTACCCACTAGTTGGTCCAGCAACTTTGAATTAATTAGCAATGTTGCTGTCCATCAGATTGTCTTTATCTGAATTTTATGTCGACTATGTTATTTTATGCCTGTTTTATGGTTTTTACAGTTTCCGTAAAGGAGCTGAGTTTGCTTCATTTCTTAATCTTGCATCATATTATATTTAAAATCATACCATTTGGAAATCTTAAGTTTAATGACTTAAACTTCTTCTACATTGTGTGTGGCTCAAAATAAGGTGCACTCGATTCGGTTATGTTCCAGACACGAGATAATTAAAATTTGACATTTATATTAATTACACACTTTTACACATAGTGCCACATACCTCGTAAGCGCAGCTCCTTCACATATTAACTCAAGGATAGTACCACATATTATTTTAGTATGTCCTCAGATACGTATATGTCAACGCACCTGATACGATTGGATACGTTTTAAATTGCCCGACTTCTAGTAGGAGGGACATAAAAATTAACAAATATTTGGGTTGAGAATTATAAGGATTAAACTCATTAATTCAAGAGGTTATTAGTGTGTTAATTTACATAGGATTGCAAAAATACCCTGATGTATGGTCACGCAAAATGAAAGGAAGATTCCTATAGATTTTGAGGTCACAACATCCAAGATAAAGGTCAAAGTTACTAAAAATAGACTGAAATTGTTGCAGAAAAGGGCTTCCCGTTGCTAAATCAGATACTACACATGGGGTTGCAACCTTGCTTGGATATATGGTCAGATAGGAGAGGAAGAGCCATATTGATTTTAAGGTCAATGGTCAAGATCATAGTTTATGAAAATATACATAATTTGTGCAGAAAAATGGTTTTAGGGTGCTTAATAAAATTCTTCATATTGGATTGCAACCTTACTTGGATATGTGGTAACATATAATAACAGGATGATCCCTATTAATTTGAAGTTGGAAGGTCATGGTTACTAAAAACAGATTTGTGTAAAAAAAAACAATGCCATCAGGTCACTAATTCTTTTCCCTTTTTGTTTGATATGTGACTTTTTTAGAGATAATTTACCAATATAAAATAAGGAGATGTGATATGATTGCTAATGAGACAACTATCCAGAAGAGACCAAATAATTTAGATGTTGGCAAGAACAATCTGATAAAAATTTACCATAAAACTATTTCAAAGAAATGGAATGCTTTATAAATGTCTCTTCCTAAACACAATATAATAAACATTTAACATGAAATAATTCAGTTTTGTCTCACCTGTGATATCAAGACAGGGATGCTAATCCAGTGGATGCCAACAATGTAAACTATATCATGATTTATATTTCAGATGGTAGAAGACCTGAATACTTAATATCTTGTATACTGTCACCATATGTTCTGATCTGGTATTTGTCAATTGTCCTTCACCTCATTTCATGGTTCAGCAACTGTCTTGTCCATATGACTGACCTCATTTTTAAGGTTCACTAGTCAAGAAAAAAGATTTTTGTGATTAGATCAGTTTCTCAGATACTTCAAGTAATAGGACAATTTATTGCAATGTATGCATTTGTATATTAAGAGTGCACATGTATGTCTGACAAGATTCAATTGTTCTTGACCTCATTTTTATGGTTCACTGGTCAACATTTAGTTTCCATTATTAGGTCAGTTTCTTATATACTATGAGTAACAGGTAAATTATATTTGGTATATAAACTCATTGTAAGGTGTACATGTTTGTCATTCAGAATTCTTCTATGGTCAATGTCAAGTTTTCATGATGGGATTAGTTTCTCATGTACTGTCAGTCAAACTACATGGTCTAAAGAATTTTGGAGATAAACTATACATTACAGGGGATATATTTGAATATAAATTGACTAAGTTGTACATGTCCATATGGCCTTGACTTCATTTGCATGGCTCTTTGATAAACTGAAAAGATTTTGTGATAACATCAGATTCTCTGTTACTTCCAAGTTTTAGGCTATATTTGTTGTCAATCATCATTGTAAGGTATACATTCTGCCTGACAGGGTTCATATGACCTTGACCTTATTAATCATGAATTGCTGTCCATGTAAATATTGTGGAAACAGACTGGGGACATTGGAGGAAAAAAAGGAGCCTTAAAACTTTTGGGCAGTCCAGGAAGGGCAGGGCATTGGAATATCTTGGTAGTTCAGAAGGAAGGCCTAAAAAAAATCCAATGTTTTTATTAACGTTATTTAGTAAACAGGTAAAATATCTAGTTATATCCTAGTATTTCATGTTAGTTTATTAACCAGTACTTTACTAAAATTTATATATGAAAGTCAGTACAATGATTAAGAAGTATTCAAACAGTACTACATTGTTGAGGTAAAACTTTTAAAGAACTGACTTTATCTTTACCATCATGAACAGTTGGTCCAGTAGCTTTCTTGTGAATAGCAACCCTGTATCATGGAGATCATTGTCCTGAACATGCATGGAATATTTGCCACTGGACGTTAAGCAACCAACAATCAATCAATCAATCAATCATGGAAATCATGTTAGGAAACTTAATCCTAGAATATTGTGTCAAATTGAAGATATACTCTATATGCAGGTCTTACTGGAATGTTCAAACATAGTATTGTAAAATTCACAATGGGAAAATTGAAGTCCTCTCTTTTGTCGTAAAGTTTAGTTCTCAATCAACATCCATCAAATCCAACGACAAGAAAGTCATAAAATAATCATCATTTTTATTTTATCCTCATACAAAACATTCATACAAAAAAAAAACATTAAGCACTTCATAACAAGTAATCATAATTAGAAAAGGATGTTTTAAGTTAATTCAATCTTGATAATACTTCTTGACAATTAAATTAACATTGCTCAAATATCTCTATGCAAAGAAAACCAATCAGACTTGTATGGAGAAAAGCTTTTTTTTTTATTTCAGCAAATATGATTGTGCCCCTTTCAGACAAAACACACCATAATAAACATAGACCTACATTTGGCTCGAAAGAACTGGTATCGACTCAATTGGCATCAATGCATAATAATTAAATTTATCTGTAAGATTTTAAAAAGAGAAAGATAAATGACCTACAAATGCAGAATATAAACTTTTGAAATCCAATGGAAGGCCAAGTATGTTTTAATTTACCTTAGGTTTCAGAGAACAAAATCTGAACAATTTTACTGACAGACAACTGATGTCTGATGTCACACATCAAGTGATAGCATTTTATTGACAAGTGATAATTCAGATACATTTGAATTTTTGGTGTATAGGGTTGACCAATAGAACAAACAAGCAAACAAAAAACACATTCATAATGCACTAACCTCTATTCTATCTTTAAAAGTAATTATGTCAAAGCACAGTGATATCTACCTAAGAAAGCTGCTTAAGTTTTTATCAAGGACAGACAAGCAATGTTGTAACTATATGCTTTATTTAGACAGGAACATAGAAAATGTTTTTAATGCAATAATCTATTACCATTCCTCACATTCACACTTCTGGTCCCTTGAAGGTCAAATAAAAAATAAAATGTTCAACCTTTCACTCCATTTTTCTTTTTTCCTCTTTTTTTCTTCAAATAAACTTGTTTAAGCAAGACACAATATCATTTTAATTATGTCAATACATCATTAATAACACTGAATTCTGAAACCAAAACAAAATGACAATTTTTACATATATATATATATATATATATATATTATATTAGAGCTTCACTATGTAAGGAACTGGGAAAGACATGTTCATTTCTCAAAATGAAACAGCCAGCATTACAGATTTCTGCACACTGCACATTGAGTTAACTCCTGAAGCTAATTATCCCTCATTTCCTCGTGACATTTACTAAAAATTTATGACTTCAGCATACACATTATTACATATGATTAGTGAAATATAAAATTATCACATACCAAAACAGATTTCATTAAAATTAAATAACAATCAATTTACATAAGTTTCAAATAAATGAAATACAAAAATAATCTCATGATATTTATAATAAATTCAAAATCAAATATAATAATACATTTGTTCTTCATTTATGGTCCTCTAACATTCATGGAAATAATGTACAAGTTTGGCAAATATTCAATCAATGTTTTACACTTATTCTTCTTCATGATCCATACAAATTATACAATGAATGACATATTGTAAATGTACATGAGATAATAACTCAATGACATACAGTAAAAATAACAAATAAAGCTTACTGCACGATCATAATCAAAGTGCTTGTGAGCACAGAAGGGTAAAGATTGATTTCATTCTGCAATGTGAACTGCATTGTATTGAACAATGGAACACATTTAGGTAATATTTTGAATTAGAGTTATCTTCCTTGTCAATAATTGCAGTGCATAACATTCATATTTCATGTCCAGGTATACCGGTATGTAATTAAAATAAAATAGTTTTCTTGTCAAGAAAGATTATACACAAACACATCATTTTGTAACTTGAAAATCTGAGTATATATCATAAATAAATTGCTTCACATGGAGAAGATCTAAAGAATGTAAAAGTCAATGCAATATGTTGTTTGTGCTCTTAAATGTAGAGATGATGCTTGGAAAATATAGCTCTCAAGCCAGTTACAAAAGAGTTTTAATTGCATTCATGCAATCTTTACCCCTAAAAACAAAGGTGGTAAACCATTATTTTCCAGCCAAAGTGTGCTAGTTTGTACTTCTTATGTTTTACCAGTTGACAGACATTTATTTTCATGGATTCATGCGAACTGAAAGAAATGAACATTTTTATTTCCTAATAATTGTTTCCCTATAATGAAAGGACTTTATTTTGTGACAAAATTAATGTAATTTTCAATTCAGGACAATACTAGGAAGGGATGACTACATTTTTTTGTCATTAAATGAAGCAGTACTGTAACAAAGACGTAAAATAGACATAAATAATGAATATCTACACTATGTCTATGAAAAACTTGGAATGGAAATTAAAAGTTAAAAATATTTACATCGTGATATCAAGAAGTTTATTTAAAACAAAAAATCTTCAAAAAAGCATACACAGGGCTACATACTAGGTCAGCACAGGAATAAACAAAATTACATTATACTCATTTTTATCCTTAATACAAATTTTTGGAATTAATGAAAGGAAAATTATTTTCATGGGATTTCTGAATTCCTGAGTTCAGACTCTGTACACAATGAACCAACAGACTTTGTTGGCATGTGTAATTGAACAAATTATAAAATGCACAAAAAATGGTTGAATACATTCAAACTACATTGTCATAAATTGTTCATGTCACATGGCATATATTTATTGCACAGTGGAAAATTTATCATTATCACATAATAAAATAAATGTGGATAGCGTCCACATGTGGACACAGATGATGCCCCCGCTTGCATATCATATAGTTATAAAGGGACATAACTGAAGAACGGTAAAAGTGACGCTACCCAAATTTGAACTTGATCTGAGTTTTGTGGTAATAAGCATTGTGTATAAGTTTTACAACATTTGGTTGAGACAAACTAAAAAAAATCAGCAATTTTTATGTTTATAAAGGGACATAACTCTAGAATGGTAAAAGTGTTGCCACCTAATTTCGTACTTAATCTGTATTATGTAGTAATAAGCATTGTGTATAAGTTTCATAACATTTGGTTGAGGCAAACTCAAGTTAGAGAACTGAAACAAAAAAATTGTACTTGATCCTTACTGAGTTTTGTGGTAATGAATATTGTGTATAGGTTTCATAATGTTTGGCTGGGGAAAACTTCAGTTACAGAATGGAAACTAAAAAATTTTGCAATCTTTCTATTTATAAAGGGGCATAACTCAATAATGGTTAAAGTGACACTACCCAAATTCAACTTGATCTGTGTTTTATCAGTGGAAGTCTAAATTAAACATTGCATTGTATAAAGCATTGATTGTAGTTGATTCAACTATAATCATGGTCAAAGGAAGATAACTCCAATTTTAAAAATATATTATATAAACTTGATATTTAGAAGAAAATAAAAATTTTGCAATTTTTCCTTTTATAAAGGGGCATAACTCTAGATCGGTTAAAGTGACACCACCAAAATTCAAACTTGATCTGTGTTTTGTGGTAATAAGCATTGTGTATAAGTTTCATAACATTTGGTTGAGGCAAAATTAAGTTAGAGAACGGAAACTAAATATTTTGCAATATTTCCTTTTATAAAGGGGCATAACTCTAGATCGGTTAAAGTGACGCCACCAAAATTCAAACTTGATCTGTGTTTTGTGGTAATAAGCATTGTGTATAAGTTTCATAACATTTGGTTGAGGCAAACTCAAGTTAGAGAACGGAAACCAATTTCGGGACGTACGTACAGACGGACAAGGGTAAAACTTAATGCCCCCTCCGCTACGGCGGGGGCATAAAAAAAATATGCATGCTGTGAATGAAATTTAAGTCAATTTACCAGATAAAGACTTCTTTATTTCTTCTTGAAGACAAGCCTTAGTTCTTTTTACACAATATCAGAGTGGGTTAAAAATATTGCTGCATTTCATAAATTTGGACACTGCAAAGCACCCTTAAAATGGATTTTAAATGAGTTAATGAACCATTTTCTATCCATTGATCATATATATCTTTGAAGATATTGTGACTGTTAAGAGCTATTTTTAAAACTTCAAATTAAGAAATCAATGCCAGCTTTTATTGGTGCAAATTTTTGACAATTGACTCTATGTAAAATAAATAAATGTTAGTCCTGTACATTTGTAGTCGAACATTGAAATGCTTATCCTATTTACATTAATTAAATATCACAGTAATTAATTAATGAATTTACAATATGTTATACATGTACAACAATAATGTAGTGTTATTATAGTAGCAAAGGTTTTCCAAGAAATATTATTTAACACAGAAATGAATATTGTAAATTCAGAAATTATTGCAAGGTTTTTATCTATGTGAATAATGCGACTGTCAGAGTGAGGATCGCAATAATACAAACTCACATTCCGGTATCTGAGACATATATCAGTATGCAGATTTTCCTTGAATCGCAATAATTAATCTCGCAATTTTGTCCATTCTTAAAAAATTGAAATAATAAATGCACACAATAATTTCTAAATTTACAATATCTCAATGTTAGTGTATGGCACTCAACATTCATTTTGCTGATTTTTCCACAATAAACATAATGTTAATAGTGATATTATGAAACTTCACCTGAGACAGTATAAAGATCTAGCATTAATAAGATAGTAATCCCTGTTTCTAAATTGTATGAAGGCGTCATAACTACTGGTCAGAGAATAGTTCTCCTCAACAAATAGTATCAAATCTATCCCATCATTGTTTTATTATTCAAAAAATGTGTATCTTAAACTTGTTCATTAGAATATGATGCAGATAATAGTCTATTTATCAATTTTGAATTGACCCTGTAATTAGAGATCCATTTACACAAGATGTTTCCTTTAGGAGAGGCATCCATTTTCATTGCCAATGAAGGGCAAGCAGAGAGAGCTTTTATCTGTGCATAATGTAAGTAATCTGTAACTTTTCTCAAATCTATAAATTACATTTAATCTTTTGTTACCTAAAACTTTTTGATATCAATTGTTATTTTTTCAATAAAAATTGGTTAGATAAAATATATATCACTTTCAACATACACCTTTATATCACTTTCAATTTTGCATTGGTAGTAGCTAATTTTGTCCAGGTTAGAACCAGTCTACAACTGACAGGTAAACAACTTGTGTTAAAAGTGTGCAATAACAGAATCATATTGATAATTGGCATATAGACTATTGCTACTCTTGTTAGTTAATTAAAGTATGATGATGATCAGAGTTACTACATAGACAAGAACTACTCTTGTTACAAATATGATTTGATCATATAAAGACAATGAAAGACAATAAAAAAAATAATTTCAAAACTGTTATCATTCTAAAATCTCCTTGTCCTCCTCTGTGAAAATAAAACATCAGCCTTCTTATTGATGAAGTAGGTCAAGGTCATAAACACAACTGTCAGAATAACTCCTACTGACAATGTCACTGTCTGAAAGTAAAAAACATCAATAGTAAATGTAAGTTACATTAATATATATGTCAACAGCATTGAAAAATAATGATCATATGTCACACAGATGTTTCCTAGAACCAAAATGTTATTGATTAATTGAAGGTTGGGATGCTTTATACCAGCAACAAATATTACATGCATATAAGGGCAATAACATATTAATGACATAAGAATATACCCTGCTTTATATAAGAGAGACATGCTTGGCTGGAATGTTAACATAAGGTTACATCTTCAGGAAGATCATATCTGGACATATCATTCTGCCAACCAGTCTTTGCTCTCACTCTTAAATACAATGCATCTAGGGTGAAACAGCATATATCTATTTTAAAGTCTTTAGTTTGATCTGGCACAACAAGGAGTCCACTGAGGTGCTTAAATCTTTTTGAACTAATTTATTCCAAGTAAGACAGATTGAACTGTCAAATATCAGTGGATGATAACTGTTGTATTGTCACATCATCAATCAACCCTCATTGGTAGTCAAAGTTGTGAACCATCCTGAAGAAGAATATAATCAAAGATTTCTAAGCAATATGTTATCATAGGTTCCTCACCTACATAGGAAACCTAGTTTCTTTAAATTCAAAAATTCTTGCAACGTTTTCATAATTGCAACAGGATATGAATTTAAAGGTGCAGAAACATCCTATTTATAGCATTGCAATTCTACAAGGGTTTTCCAATTAATAAAAAAAAAAGACTTAGATTTGAATAATGTTAATAACTAAATAAGCATAAGATAATCCACTTTAAAAGAAATAGAATTAACATTAATCTGATTCACAAAAACTTAAAATAGAACAATCAGTAAACAAGGAGCTTAAATCTCACACCTGACATTTTTGCCAAATTGATACAACTCCGCAAGATTATGTGCAATGAATAGAAACTATGTGTACCAGAATCTGTATTGATGGTCATTTTGGTCAAATGTCTGTATAACATTCTTGTTTTAAACATTATAAAGAAAATTAAAAATAAAATCATCTATAAAGGATATTAACTCCTATAAAGTGAGTCATTTGGGCCATGTGAACTAAAAATGCTAAAATACTTGGATATAGCTAAAGACATGGATTTTTCAGTTAACTTATACATTTATTTACAATATTAGCAAAACTCAGACAACCTTATACTCAAAGAAATCATGCAGCCACACACTACATAGAAGCAATGCTAGATAAGAGATTTGGTGAAGATCTTACAGCCTAGAAAATTTGCAAGATCATGCAATTATACATTGTATAATGATCAAAATAATCATATCAAATCGATAAGTTGTTCATTGTTTAATATTCTTCAAAAAAATATATTATTCAAAATTCCACAGGTTTTTCACTAGAATCATTGAGACTAAATATTTGCAGCGTTATAATAGTGAAATCCAACAGGTACAATATCGTAATGAATATTCAACAAATACATGTTATGTCACAAATAGTCTGCTTTACTTAAATACATAACATTATGTACTGACAACATAGTTTTAAAAACCTTTAGCTGGTAAAATATTAGATTTTTAAGAGATAACATATGAATATATAATCGGAAAAGAACTAGACATGTCAGCTAAAGTTGCACCTGTTAAAAGATTATTTACTTTTTTCTCTTTCTCTTTTTAAGCTCTTTCATATTTATTGTAAACTTATTTTTGAAGGTACAGTAAAACCTGCAACACATTTCATTTGCAAAATTAACATATAAACATGTACAACCCAATTCCAGAATACTTATGTATTTTTTCATGCAAATTAATAATACCAGCATGCATTGGTGTTGGCTAAACCTGAATGCAAGCTAGATTTAGAACACACCTAAATACAAATGTTCTAATCCATCCAAGGAAAACTGGAATCACCAAATTAATTTATCTTTAGGTATTAACTTTTGATCTTCAACAGTTTTTCAGCAGAGGTTATTAGCGTGTTAACAAACTTTCATGCAATGGTCAGTTTAATTAATATCAAATTGCGTTAAAAAAATTGTTAGGTGTTGGAATTATTATTGTTTAAATATCTTGATTCATTAAACTTATACAAAATCTAACTGTTTTCAACCCTAAGCAGTTTTTGTTTTAACACCCGAAATAAATTCTAGTGTAAATTTGTTTAATATACCATAACCTCATACTGTGGATTCATTTATTTTCGTGGGTATCAATTTTCATGGATTGAGGAAAACTTGCATTTTCGTGGATATTTAATTTTGTTGTTTGGGCAAAGTCTGCATACATTCCTTTAGAAAATTTGTAATTTGTTGAACATTTAAATTCATGGTTCCCCTGTACCCACGAAATCCTCGAAAATTGATATCCAACGAATATTAATGAATCCACAGTAGACATGTTTATGACAAATATTTCAACCAGTTTTCCTTGAATAGATATTGTTAATTACAATGCAGACCTTATGTAGTTTGTGAACTGTTAATACTGAACAAAATGGATGCCTTCAGGTTGATAAAATAGGCAGCGACCAATGAAATAAGGAGTAGGGCCAGTCCTGAACACAACAGGGCTACCTGTCAACAAAATTAAAATCAATTTCATCTGAGGTTGAATTTTATACAAAATTTTGTAAGCATATAGACTATGCAGCAAACATTTGTGATTTTTTTATTACATTTAAACAAAAGCTGAAAAATCAAAATTAACATTTAGAATACCTTAAAAATTAATCCGAACTACTGGTATTGATTTATTTTTATCAAGAATTCAAATGTAAATAAATAGAATATTTAGAATCAAAGATGCCATTGGAGTAAAATTTCCAAATTTTGAAAATAAAAACAGATTGACTGTAAAATGCATTCAAATTAATCTTTGTATGAATGGCATATCTGTGTAGCATTCATTCATAGTTTTATATCAATCTCCAGACATTATGGCTTCAAAGCTTTTCTTTTCTTATAAACTATTTGCTACATATCTACCAATCTAGCACAATGACAAAGGCTCTGTTTATTATGACATAGATACTAACAAGAATAACTGTGATGGTATGTTTTTCTTATCTGTTACACAACCATTGTTTTGTAATATATATTTTCACTTTCACCTATTTTTATTTATGTAATAGGGAGTGATTTTATAGAGGAAAACTTACTGTATGTAAGAATATTAGGATAACATACATAGATATAACAAGAAACATTTGTGTAAGCTTTCTACAAGTAAACAGAATCTTCTTTCAAAGGAGAAAGGCCCTGTCCGAACCAGGGCTTCCAAAATTATTTTTAGCCAGCCGGACATTTTATATATTATCCCGATTTTAATCCCTTAAGACAAAATAAACAAAAACATTATGGTAATCAGTTGCCAATTTGGCCATCCCAATGATTGACTGTATTAAAATAAAACGATATTAAACTTTCTTTGATTCAAATTTGAAGTTCTGACGTAAACTGTTAAATTGGCAGGGCATCATTCGAAGTGTGCAACATCAGCGTACTTATATCTGCCTTAGACTCTTTATTTGTGCAAAATAATGTTGTCAAAAACTTTACTTTCGTTTTAAATCTTATAGAGGATGTTATCTTGACTATGGTAAAACATGGACCTAAGACGGATACGTAAATTCCGTGTACGTTTACAAAGCATGAATGAGTGTAAGTTGCTCTTTCTGCGTTATTTCTTCAAGAAAATATTCAAAATAAACGTGAGATAAAGGTATCAATGACAATTTAAGCATTTTTTGAAGAAATTAGGATGCATAATTAAATTTCACAACTGCGCACATGCGCACACTTGTACTAGTTCAAACAGAGACATGTCTCTGGTTCATGACGATTTTTCATTTTCACCTTTTTAATTTTTTCATCAAATATTATTTGTAAACGTATTTCTGATAATTTAAATCTTTTTGACAATATTAATTAGATGCAAACCGCTGAAATGTAAGAAAATAACTTTGAATAGACCGATCAATGTCCGGTTCAAAATAGTTTACCTGTCACCTGAACAGGTAAATTTCAGCTGTTGGACAACTAATTAGCCTTGATTAAAATGAGAAGGTATTAAAGTAGGGGTTGTTTTGATAGTACTTAATGATCATGTCACTTTTATGACCGGAAATGTGTGGCTGTTAATGGCAAAAGGTTTGGTCAAAAAGATCGCGAATTATGTTAAAATGACCGTCTCTTAAGAAAGCCTTGAAAACTAAAAATTAGATGACCTTTTCATGCTTTGCCCAGCCGGACTTTTACCTGACATTATACAAATGTCCGGCATATATGACCGTTTTGGAAGCCTTGGTCCCAACTCCAGAAAGAAAACAAATATTCTGATAGGACGAATTTCAGCAGAACCTATTAAGTTATGCACTAGGATAATAATTGTTTACAGTAAAATTAATTATGTATCAAAATCCTAGGAATTAAAAATTAATCATTCAAAACAGAAAGTCAAACAGCTTGGACATTCTTTCCATGTTTTGTCAATAATTTGTAAATTTCCCCCGTCAAATATTTTTCCAAAAGGAAATAAAACTGGAAGGTTTTTCTTCAAAAGGGAAATTTGATCTCTTAGCCATCTTGTCCTATAGGCAATTTCCACCAAATTAAAAAAATATGAAAAGAAAACCATCAATATCCAAAAATTGATCCTTATGGGTGCATTTTAAAAATAATCCAATTCAGATATAACTGATGATAGGCCTGCTTGAAGTCATTTCATTATTGAATACAGTTGATCTGGGATTTTTGGGAAATGTTACTAGGGAAACAGAGGAATATGAATAAGGTTAAAATTTGATAAACCAGTATAAGGATTCAGCGGTAATAAGTTAATAACATAAAGGGAAGAAGTGTGCTTACAGAGTTCACTTTGCCCTTGTACATGTGTATTTAGGGAAACCTTTCAGCTGTAGCATTCAATGATTAATCTAATTTTCTACATAGTCATATATGTAACAGATACATGATAAAACACAAATACTAGTAATCCATGGATATCATTTTAATATATATTTTGATTGCTTATATCTGAATATGTTATGTTGTGGTGTTATATCTACCCTTAAACTAAACCAATAACTAACATAATCAATAAAACAGAAAATTTAGGTCAAATTATCATTTGGATTTATATATTTAATTGTTCATATCTTGTTTTATTCAGTAGTGAATTGACATTGTGATATCACATCTGATTCACATAACCTGAAAACTGTAGGTAAACTGAAACCATTACCATGATGACTGAATTATAAAATTGAGGTCATTTCACTCTTTTGACCTATATTTTTAACATGTCTTATTTTATGTTTTGCCACATTATGGTATCAGTTCAGCTTCATATCAAACAACCTAACCATCGATCGGGATGAAAAGGTGAACTAACAGATTCAAAAACAAAAATACATCACATCCTATTGTTTAATTGATGCAGAATCCTATTTTGTCAATTAACAATACATTTCCTTCAGAGAAAATTTATATTTTACTGGTTGCATTGTTGTTGGTAGATTTTGAAACACACAATAATGTTAGGAGCACTTATAATAAAACTGTAAATTTAAGTACATATCTTTTGCAGATAGATAAATAACTGACATACAATCATGTAAATTATACATGTTTTTCAATACCATCAATGGTGTGTTTTACACTGTGAAATTTTGCCATCAACCAATAAGAATGGATGTTCAAAAGATAAAGCATCAGAATAAGAAAAGTGAATGCAAAATTGAACACTTTTGACATACTGTGTTATAAACATCAAAAGCAAGTATCAGCCTTATTTTTCTTGCCGTAATTGGAAAGGTAAGACAAGTCATTTATGTTGAAAAAAATTTCAGATAGTAAAGGAAATTGAGACTAAGACAGACTGGTGTTTTGTGCAAGATAAAGAACCTAATTTCTTTATTTTATTTTCTAAATACATACCTCTAAATGTTTACTTGGGACTAAGAAAATCCTCATTTGTATGGAATCTGTTTGCCAGCTGCTTTCTGTCCAAGCTGAGTATTCATCTATATTCCAATTATAATCTACAAAACAACAAATAGCAATAAATTACAAACGGAATTCCTGGATTTTTTTTTATTCATACTGGATATTCATTATTTATAATTTATAACTTTCATATCATATTAATCTAAAAGACGATATTTTCCTATGGTTGTCTGCCTATAAAGGTTATTGTGTGCCAAGATTTGTCAGAGAGTTATTATTGTAGTTTACAGTGAGAATCATGAATTTTTCTCAGTGAATAACTGGTCACAAATTACATAGTGGCTAGATAACCAGATTAACCACATAACCAATAAAAATAATAGCAGGGAACATAAAGATGGGGTAATTAGACTATACATATATCAATCCATTTAGTTCACCTTACCAGCAAATGTATCTTGATGAACCATGCACAGATTTTTTCAGTAAATGATTGCATTTCTCACTCAGAATAATTATTTTGTTCTCATAGATAATATGGACACTCCATTTTCCAGGTGTAATACCAACATTGTTTTTCCCCTATTAGTCTTTGTTAAATCTGCACTTTTCAAAAAATTGTGCAGAATTTATCTTTGATTCAAATAAAGAAATACTTGGCATGAGTAAAGTTTTATCCTGTCCAGTACTACAGACAAAATTTCACATAACATTTCATTGCATATAAGATAATAACCATCACTGGAAGTTAACCAATCAAATTTCCACACTTTTCTTTCCTGTTTACAAGCTTTAGTAACGATGTAACCTCAAGTTTCCAAAATATTTTATAGAAACTCCAAATAAAAAAAGAATGGTGCTTTGAAACACCCAAGATATATGTTTATGACTCAGAAATTTTTTACTGCAACTGTCAAATTCAAGGGAATATTTTTTTTCGACGCTTTTTCGTATGCAACCGGATGTGACGTACTATGATTTGGTGGTATTACACCTTCATATTGTATTCGCTAGACTTTGAGGAAGTAAGAGTATCTACTTGTGAGCTTTATATACAATATGCCTAGTTAATAATAAATACCATCTTGATCAAACAGAGGAGATTGAGCTAAGGTGTACACTGCTGTACTTTTGCTACAGAATCCTTGTCTCTTGTTGGTTGTTGTATTCACTTCTCCCTGCATCCAGTAATACTGGTTAACCTGTAAAATAAATACAACCAGTGAGGAATTGATATTTATGTCACATGATCATACATCCATTAATACAGGTTCTCATATTTGTTTTCTGCTTTTCAATCCCTTGTTATTAAAATAAATCAAATGTACTGTTATATTTATGTGATTAAATATATGACATTCATAGTTTGTGTCTTTATTTGTTTCATAAACAAAGTAATTTCCATATTTATGTGGTGAAACAGAGGTACACTAAAAGAGAGGCAAGAGATACCAAAGGGACATTCAAACTCATAAGTTGAAACAAACAGAAAATGTCATGGCAAAAAACGAAAAACGACGAAAAGACAAACAACTGTACACAAAACACAAAATTTAAAACTTAAGACTGAGCAACACAAACCCAACCAAAACTGGGGTAAACTAAGCTATATATAGCTATGATTTTTCGAAAGTATGGTACAACCTTGATCACACTTTGTTTAATTATCAACAGTGTGTCTCAACATGAGGGTTTAAAAAATTATTTCTTCAATGATATATAATTGGAAAGGAATTTGTTTCTACCATATAAGAACATATGGAACATACATATAGAATGTGTCCATGGGACACAAATGATGCCCCAGCTTGCATATAACGTTAGAAAGGGACATTACTAAAGAACGGTAAAAGTGACGCCATTCAAATTCTAAATTGATCTGAGTTTTGTGGTAAAAAGCATTGTGTATAAGTTTCATAACATTTGGTTGAGGCAAACTAAAGTTAGAGAACGGAAACTAACTTTAGGACACTTTATGCCCCCTCAGCTGCGGCTGGGGCATAAAAATAGTCAACGAGACTTCAATAAACAAAGAACTATAACAGGGACTTCGTGAGATACATAACAAAATTGGGAGTAATTTCTCTACAAGACATATATACATATTTGATTTACTAAAGAAAACATTTGTATGATTTTGACTGAGGCCAAAAAAAATAATACATGTGTTTCCGCTAACGTGCTGGGAAAAAATAGGGTAGGTAGGTAGGTAGACAATATCATTTTATTTTACAAACATTTTTTAGCTGGTTACTACTAGGGAATCTGTCCGACTTTAACAGTGCTTGTTCAAAAATGGCATAAAAAGTGTTAGGGTAGGCACTAAAAATTAGGGTAGGTAGGGTTAGCGGAAACACATGTATTACTTTTTTTGGCCTGATGATATTTATAGAAATATGTCAAATATAACTACCTTATTACTTCCAGACTGTTTACAGTTGTCTTTTGTATTGTTGACTCTATCTCCAATAAAGTAACTCAGAAGTCTCTTGGTTAAATAGGTCACCTGGTTACTAGTGCTTGTGACACTTACATAGAATGGGTAAGGGAGACTACTCTCATCTGAAATGTTAAAAAAACAACATGTAAATGTAATTATCGCTATTTTGTGTATTTTTCCTTTGATCTTTTTTTGTGATAATTTTTCATATCATGCTACTCGCTTGAGATAGAATATTATCCTTAGAAACTAAGGCTGCACATGCCATTACCAATATAAACATCAAGAATGTCGTAGGCAAAATAGTGATAAACAAATTATCAACAGTCTTTCAAACTTGAGAATGTTTCTCTGCCCCATCACATCTCAGGGCTGTCATTTGAAAAACAATCGATAATCTATAATTATTGACAAAACAAATATGATATTATACAAAATGAAAATATGACAAAGCAAAAATAGGATATGGGATTCAAAGAAAGAATTGAAAAAAACTTCTGCCCTTGATGAAATAAAAGAAAATGAAATAAGATGCAGCAAACATTTCTTATAAATGTATCAATGTAAAGCACATACATTATATTAAAAGCTGACTATAAGGTATGGGTTTTTCTTATTGTTGAAGGCTGTACGGTTGCTTATAATTGCTTACATCCACTTCATTTGAACTTTGGTGGATAGTTGTCTCATTGCCAATCATACCACATCTCCTTATTCTTATATTGTATATGGCAACAGGATTTTGACAAGTGATGGATCTAAAATTGTATAAAAGTCTATATCTTACCAACATGAAGCTTGGCGCCAAATGTCAAGAAAAAATGATTTTTAGTTGCTGACAATATGAGCCGGAAATGTGTTATGGAGGGATGCAGACAGACAGAGGTAAATCAGTATATGGGCTGGGTCCCAGGTTCAATTGTTTGACTGATTGATTTCATAAAGCAATGTGTCTAGACCACATTCCATGGCAGGAAAATACAGTATATTCAGAAATTATTGTGAGGTATCTATAAATGCGAATAATGCGACTGGGTGATTATTGCAATAATAAGAACTCACATTCTGAAATCAATACACATATCTTTATGCAGATTTTCTTGAAATCACAATACTTAAATTCCCATTCTGGACTTTTCAAAAATCACAATAATAAATACATGCAATAATTTTTGAATTTACAGTACAGCAATTGATAACATAACATACCCAGATTTTTGTTATCAGTATCATCTAAAACTCTTCTGAACATTTCACACTGTCTTGTTATCAGAAAACAAAATAACAAGTCATTCACCTACAAATACAAAAACATCAAAAGAGTTCTGTTTTCAATATTATGTTATATGTTATTAGAATGGGGATGTTTTAGACAGAAAATTCTTCTTCAGTGAGTAGTGTAAAAATGTTTCTTATGATGACAACTGAAAGTTATTTTAAAAGACATTTTTGTTGTTCGACTGATATAAACATTTTTTAGATATAAGAAGATGTGGTATGAGTGCCAATGAGACAACTCTCCATCCAAGTTTTACCAAGTTAGTATCCCTTGAATTATTGATTAATTATAAATATAATATTATGAATATACAAGTGCATTGTTTTACTCATAAATAACTCTTACAGAATAGTGATTTGGCCCATCTTAAAACCTGCTTCACATCTCCATTTATTCAAATGCAGATAATATATATTTGTTAATTTGTCCTTTTATAAATGTGGATATAATATCAAGAAAGAGGTGGAAGAAACCACAGTGCCATGGGTAAAGCTGTGACCTTTATTGGAAGAAACCACAGTGCCATGGGTAAAAGCTGTGACCTTTATTGGAAGAAACCACAGTGCCATGGGTAAAGCTGTGACCTTTATTGGAAGAAACCATAGTGCACTGGGTAAAGCTGTGACCTTTATCAAGTAACTGAAACAACTACAAGTTGGAGTGCACTTAGTCCTATTTTGCAACTGACTGCTAGGAGACTTTAATCTCAGATATAGTTGTTGATTGATTGATTGTTGTATGCTTAATGTCCAGTGGATAATTAGATATAGTGATGATAGGTTGAGTAATTTGTTATGCATATGTCAACCAACTTTACATTTCACTCTGTATTGCATTACAGTTTACAAAATTTAGTTATCATCTATTTAACATCCCAAATCTATGGCAGATTTGTTACAATCCTAATCTATGGCAAGTTTTGTAATTTTTAACAAGTGAAAATGTATGAAAACGGAAGCATGTTTATAAACATTTTTGAAACAAACATTCCATACCATAATACAGACTTCAGGATTAAAAATTAATTATAACTTCTTTCCTAAAATATCCACTACTAAAAACAGCCATGCCTTTATTCATCGCGGGATTCAGACAGTACAGCACATCTTCCTTTAAACCATCGGCAAATTGTTTTTCGAGGGAGAGTGTTTCCCTGTGTTTTTGTTTGTAAAAACTTGCAATCTGTGAGCCCCGTGTCAAATATTTGTTTTTTTGGTTTACATCATACAATTAAAAGAAAAAAATTATAAATGAAGTTCAAATCTATGCCGGTTCTGCCAACGTTAGCACAGGCGACGACGACGTAATTATGGAGTCATTTAATTGTGACGCTATATGTTACTCTTTTCCCACGACAATTACGCAATTTCAAGATCTGCCATACATTTGGAGAAAACAAAAAACTGCCATAGATTTGATTTGTAACGTCATATTTGCCATAGATTAGGAATCTGCCATACATTTGGAACCCACCATAGATTTGAGTCCTACATATATAAGCTTAATATAACCTAAAACTTACTATAGATTCAGAACTTTTCATATCCTGAGGAGCATCCCGACTTGTAGACAAGGTATATAAGGTCCGTGCTAGCATGGTAGATATCCTGGTTAAGTTTTTGGCTTGCTCTGTGATAATGTCTGAGTCGTTGGTGCTTGCTTCAATTGCTTTGGCAATGTCAAATCTGCTATTGTAGTATCTACAATGACGGAATAAAATATATAAATATCCCCTGGATACATGTATAAAAAATAATATCAAATAATAATATCAAAAATTGAACAGCAACATCAAGAACCGTAAAAACATTCACAAAATGAAATCCATGATCCTTCATTTCCTGGCTGCTAGAATGCTGTTTATTTTTGTAATATGTTTCGAATATGATCCTGTATAGCATCATACATACAGATGATAAGTCCTTTGAACAAAGAACCTAATTCATAAACACATTCATTCCCATGATAGTAATTCGCTTTTGCTAAAGTAATCAAAAATATCGTGGTATTTTGAACGATGGAAAATGTAGCAGTGAAATATATGCAATAAGTAAATTTTGTTGTTAAATATTGGAAAGGATGCAGAAAATAAGCAAAATTGCACCCTGGGCCTAAGCAAACAATAATCAACCATTTTCACTTACTTATTCGTAAAACTGTGTTGGTGGTCACTAAAAACCACTGCTGGAATCTTTTCCTTTCTTAGGAACCTCTGGACAGATGCTGGAGGTAGTGGCTGGGATCTACTGTTCTCTCCTATACCTAAACTCATATTGTCAGCTACACTCTTTATAAGTTCTATCATCTTGTCAATCTATAATGTAATGTTTTCACTAAAATCGTCTTATCACATTTTATATAAGTCTTTCTTTTTTCAAACAATGTTGTGACTTGCTCAAGTAAGATCACCATCAAAGACTACAGAAATATTTTCAACCTTTGAACACTTTGTTCCACATTTGGGCTATACCTCTATTCCAATTGACCAATGGTAATATTGACTTTTTGATAATCTGGTGTCATAAATAATCCTGATATCTCCTCAAAAACACCTATTCATGTTTGAGGGTCTGGATGGGGATTTTCATTTTTGTATTTTTAGATCATTTTTTTCGTTTTTTGTTTGCCAATTTTTCTCTTATTTTTTTTAAGCCTAATATTCTCTATTATGTAAACCCCATCAGACCTTCATCAGAATCAATCAAAAAATTACTTGTTTTTCTTAATTTTGAAACAGACTTTGAAGATTTATTTCAGATTCATCCTGTAATTGTGGTGATAACAATGAAGATTCATACAATTTCTTCTTTAAATGTTCAAATTAAATTTGTTTAAGAAAGATCTTATTTGCTAACCTAAACTACATACCAGAAAAAATATCAACTTAATTTGAACATGTCAATAAATAATTATCAACATGAATTATTCAAATGATCAAAGAGGTTTTAGTTGTGCAAATTACCATAATATGGTGCATACACTCTACAAACATTTAAGTCACATCACACCACATCATAATCATTGTCGTTTTTAAGTCATGTGATAACTCAAAATATAAGGTATTGTTTGTATGAATTGTTCTATAAAAATTCTACAGCTATATATTTTTAAGTGAGAAGACTTTGATAAGTTTTCATAACTATGTCTCATTTCTGTACCATATTTAAGCAGTAAATTTGTTGGAACTTAACCAAACTTAATTTCTGTTTTAAACAATAACAGTTATTATGATACTAAAAATGAAACACTCAACTATTGAAACCATTGTTGCAAAATGAAAGGTAAGAAAATTTCAGACACAAGGTCAGATTTAAATTGACTTCAACTTCATAGACACTTGATTCCTGGTTATAGTTTCCTATCCAATTATGTACCTAAACTATACTAGCATGAATAAAGGAAGATATGGAAAGTGTGAATAAAAGAAAATATGGAAAGTGTGAATAAAAGAAGATAAAGGAAGTATGAACGAAAGAAGATATAGGAAGTGTGAATAAAAGAAGTTATGGGAGTGTGAATAAAAGAAAATATGGAAAGTGTGAATAAAAGAAGATAAAGGAAGTATGAATGAAAGAAGATATAGGAAGTGTGAATAAAAGAAGATATGGGAAGTGTGAAAGTGTGAGTAAAAGAAGATATGGGAAGTGTGAAAGTGTCAATAAAAGAAGATATGGAAAGTGTGAAAGTGTGAATAAAAGAAGATATGGGAAGTGTGAAAGTGTGAGTAAAAGAAGATATGGGAAGTGTGAAAGTGTCAATAAAAGAAGATATGGAAAGTGTGAATAGAAGATATGGGAAGTGTAAAAGTGTGAATAAATGAAGATATGGAAAGTGTGAATATAAAAGAAGATATGGAAAGTGTGTATATAAAAGAAGATATGGAAAGTGTGAATAAAAGAAGATATAGGAAGTGTGAATAAAATAAGACATGGGAAGTCATGAATAAAAGAAGCATGTTGTGTTAAATGTAAGCTATGATTACCTCTTTAGATGTTTGTGTATTAATTTGACTGAGGGGATCTGTATGGAGCCAGACTTTCCCATCATCTCTATATCCGAGTTGGTTGACCTCTACAAAGTGTGATATGTGACTAAAGTTGACCAAATGTAAAGTAGACTTTCCCTTTTCTTCCACCATCGGGAAAACATTATGTTGCATGTCATACACTGTTCTAGATGATCCAATGTAATCAAAAGCTTCCTAAAATATAGAAATTCAATTATACAATCTAAATACACATAGATGATCCAATGTAATCAAAAGCATCCTAAAATATATAAACTCAATTATACAAGCTTAATACACATATCTGATGAAATCTGTAAAGAATCTCAGATCAGAAATGTCTCCTGATTCATTTTTTAAACTTGTCATTTAGAATATAATTATTTCCATACATAATAAATATCTGTGAAGTCTTATTATGTCAATGTTTAAAAACCCACTTCATAATCTAGAAAAATTTGATGTTAATTCCGAAATGTTTTTATTATTGTTAAGTTGTGATGATGTCAGTATTTCATTCATTACACTCCACATTTAAACTTTTATCACATTTTTGGTTACAAAAAAAATGTAACTTGCATGCATAACTTCATCAAAATATGACAAAGTAAAACGCTCTGTCATTGTGGAGAATTCTGTCTTTTACCATTTATACAGTTGACTTTTTAAGTTGTATTTCCTGTCATATATTGGAAGTAAATCTGGAATATCAATATGTTTGATAATACATATTCCTTCAGAAGACAGCATGCTACATGGACCACAGCTGTATACATTAGATACTCTTTTATGTGTGTCTGTCTTGTACTGCAGTGTTAAACTGTGTTAAATGTTATGTTTGTTAAACCAAATGTCAGCAGTGTATAATAATTACTGTCTATTGATATGGAAAAGAGTTCAACATTATTTTACTTTGAAATTCTTTATAACTATCTGAATGAATAACTTAGTAAAAACAATATACTTACACCTTGAAAGAAAGCAAAAAGGATATCTTTGGTATTATTATTATTGATGATGTCATCTTTATATTTAGAAAGAGCTTCTGCAGCTGCTAGCAATCCCACAATTCCTGTTACATGGTTGTCTGCACTAGGGTAGATATTTTCAAACATAGAAAATGAATCAAGCTGAAATAATTAAGAACAAGTTGCCACAGAGAAGCTGATGTCCCTCATCAATATACTGAAATAAATGTAGAATGTGTCCATCCCCTACTTGCATATAACGTTATAAAGGGATATAACCAGAGAACCGTAAAAGTGACACCAACCAAATTAAAACTTGATCTGTGTTTTATGGTAATAAGCATTTTGTATAAGTTTCATAACATTTGGTTGAGGCAAACTAAAGTTAGAGAACGGAAACCAAATTTGGGACGTATTTATGTATGTACAGACAAGGGTAACATGTAATAAAAACTCTTATAAAAATAATCAGTCCAGATTGATTTTCAAATTTGTCTCTGAAAGATCTATTCCTAAGAAATTAATTTCATTAAACTGCAATGAAAAATGTTCACAGAAGAGTTCTAAGAAAGTTAATTTTCCATATTTTTTACAGTTCCAGGAGGAATATAACTGATTTTTGCCAATGTAAACCTTTGTGTTAAATTTCAAAAATTTTGACAAGAAAGCCCTTAAAATGATGATGCTAACATAATTTGAATTTCCAAGGGACATAACTTCCCTAAAAATATTTTTCCATCTCATCCTATATATTTCCAACCTTTGACATAAATTATATTTAAAATCCAATGAGAACTAATGGTGTAAGAGCACTTACAACATCGAGGGACAGAATTCTGAGCTTAAATATCTGTGCTTTGCAGATGGGGGAAAACACGAATCAGTAAATTATGCAAATTATGATATGTATGGATGACATAACTGTGAAATCATAATTAACGATTTTCCTCCGATATAGCCTGTAAACTTTGGAAAATTACCAACTTTTGAAAGAGTTTGGGCACTTTTTTAATTTTTGTGATTCATGGGTAATACTTTTAACTCTAAACATACTACCTTTCAAAATTAATTAAAAACTTAAAAATAGCTCACCCTTGCAGCAGCTAATATAACAGAGTTGTTAGGATAGACATCCTGGTTAGGAACAGCTTTTATTGTAGCTATGACGTTGTGGTCTCCCAGAGGATCACAGTATGTGTCAGGATTGAGATTTGTAGGGACTTGTGTTCTACGGTAACAGGTTTTAGCATCTTTAGCACCAGACATAGTATCTTTCAGCTGAACAGCACATAGAGGATATTCTCTGACAGAACCATCTGGTAAAGGTTTGTTAAACTTCTCATAACACTAAAATAAAATTTGTTAATAATATGTACCTGAATTTATCATGTGATCACATACAATTAATTTCTTTGAGATTTAGTAATCTTTAAGAATTTAATGTTTGAGGTAAATATTTGGTAGTCTCTGTTAAATTTATCAACCTTTTTTCTGGACTTAATATAGAACTTGACAAATTGCATAGACATTAGTTTATTGTTTCATATCATTTGTTGACCTCACAATGTCTTTCCTGTTATTTTGTTGTTAAGTTGTTGTCTCAATGATGTATACCGCTCATCTCCTTTTATTTTTAGTTCTATGATGTAATTTTCCGATTTTCTTCAACCCTCCTACAACCAACACTCTAGTGTATTTATACTTTGTAGCCTCTAAACTTACATCTTGTATCAGAATGTCTGGTTAATGACAACAAAGATAGGGAACTTGTCAGTTTATACTTTGTAGCCTCTAAACTTACATCTTGTATCAGAATGTCAACCTCTGTCTGGTTAATGACCACAAAGATAGGGAACTTGTCAGTTTATACTTTGTACCCTCTAAACTTACATCTTGTATCAGAATGTCAACCTCAGTCTAGATAATGACAACAAAGATAGGGAACTTGTCAGTTTATGCTTTGTAGCCTCTAAACTTATATCTTGTATCAGAATGTCAACCTCTGTCTGGTTAATGACAACAAAGATAGGGAACTTGTCAGTTCATACTTTGTAGCCTCTAAACTTACATCTTGTATCAGAATGTCAACCTCAGTCTGGTTAATGACAACAAAGATGGGGAACTTTTCAGTTTATACTTTGTAGCCTAACAACTTACATCCTGTATCAGAATGTCAACCTCAGTCTGGTTAATGACCACAAAGATAGGGAACTTGTCAGTTTATACTTTGTAGCCTCTAAACTTACATCTTCTATCAGAATATCAACCTCAGTCTGGTTAATGACAACAAAGATGGGGAACTTGTCAAAGTCCTCAAACATCATGCCATGCCCTACAGGATTCCATGTTACATTCTGACAGTTTCCATAACTTTTATCCTCATGGTATAAACCTGAAATAAAATGTAAATATTTGTAGTTAAGTATCCATATTATTGACATACTTATCATTCATTAGTATGAAATGAAGACTATTTAAAGTAGAATTGTTGATTTACATTAATTTTAGAAAACTGTTTAGACATTATGGCTCAACTTTATTAAAAGTGGCACTTTCCCCAAAAAGTGATAGTCTTTTTTGACAGAGAATTGATATTTTTTTATATAATTAAAATTCTGAAGATAGCAGTTTAAACATGCTTATATGTTGATTTGCTAATATATAACAGAACTTCCATTAAAACAAAGCAAGTATATTCAAATAGGTGTAGTTAAGTTCAGGTTAAATATGACCTTACTATCAAGTTCTTAAAAATAAACAAAACTTTATGCAACAATTTCTGATCCCCTACTTATGAAGTTAAAAGTGTGTAATAGAAAACAAAGTTGGAAGCAACGTCCTGCAAATTATAGCCAACTTTGTTAGCAGAGAATGACGAAAAATTCCATGCTAATTTGGTATAATAATAAAGGTTCATCAAATAGCAAGCAACTCCCCAACAGATCTGAAAATTACTTACATGGTACCATTCATCATAAAAAAGTTCCTTGTAAAAATTCATTGTTATTTCTTAATACTGAAGCTGAATACTGGTAATAAGTCACAAAAAAATTTCATGCTAAGGTACAATAAAAATTCAAAGTATTGTCAAACAGGAAGAGACTGCCAGGCATATCTTAAAATTGTTTATTAGGGTCAACTAATCATAATAAAGTTCAAGACCAATTAATCAAAGTATTCCTGAACACAGAGGCGGAGTTGTATCTAATGAAAAAATTCCTTGCTTAGTGGGTATAATAAAAATTCAAAGTATCAAAAACTGGCAGTGAATGCCCTGTCAGATCTGATTGATTGATTGATTGATTGTTGGTTGTTTAACAAACAAACAGTGGCAAATATTTCAAGCATGTTCAGGATGACTGTTAGATCTGAGAATCACATGTAGTATATTTCATCATAAAGTTCAAGACCAAATTTTGACTCATTCCATAAAAAAAGCTGAATATGGATGTACAAGGCAATTACAGTTAACCACTCACTCAATGAGATGATGTATAATTATCACTCTACAAAATAAAATGTAGGTCATACATAACCAATTATTACAGAATTATATTGTTCTGTAAGAAAAAGAAGTAATCAAATATCCCCAATATAAAATGATAATTCTTAGTATATGATTTGCATATTAGGGAATATGTTTATACATGTATGATTGGTCAAGACGGCTTCAGGTAGTGGCTCTTGAAGTTATATATTTTTGGACTGACGAGGTTGACGGAACGTCTTTTCGTAACTAATGTAAGCAAGATGGCGGTGATAATAACACAAACCAGCTTGACGTTAAAAATATTCATTTTCACTTTGTGTTCAATGTTAATATAAATAATTAACACAAAACATTCATTCGAATGATAATAAGATATTTTTGTAGTTTATTTTTTTTCAGATAGCAAATAACATGGAGTACATTTTTTTTGTTAACCAAAAAATATATTCATCCGTTAGGCAAATGCAATGACACAAATATACAATTTACCTGTGATAGAGGTTACCAGTGGGGATGTCAAATTCCTTATCTCCAATTTAAAAGAATTATAAGGATTAAACGCATTTTTGAAGGAATTTATTGGTGTATAAACTGGACCAAAGGACTTTTATATGTTTGTGAGTGACTTGGTCTAGTTTATACACCAATTAATTCCTTTAAAAAGGCATTTAATCCTATAATGAAGTCTTACGAAATGAACATGTTGCTGCATATCAGATATGATTTTCATTTTTTGCTTTTTACATAAATCAGGCCTTTAGTTTTTTGTTTGAATTGTTTTACAATTATCATGTCAGGGCCTTTTATAGCTTGTTATGCGGTATGGGTTTTTCTTATTGTTGAATACCATACAGCGACCTATAGTTGGTAACTTCTACTTCTTTTGGCCTCTGGTGGAAAGTTGTCTCATGGGCATTCATACCAATATAAACCACATATTCTTATTTTTATATAGACACAAAAATTAATGAAAGTTTTTTTAAGCAAGAAAAGTAAATCTTAATAATTCAAATATTTAAATGTATAAAATAAGGAAATTGCATTGTTGCTGATTATGTAAACATAAAGGAAAAAACCTGTTATTGGTATATAACAATTGCATGACTTCTCTGTCTAAATCCAAACTGGTGTTTTTTTTTACCATTTCTGCCTCATAAAAATGAGAATGGTTAAATGAGATCTCCCCAGCTATATCACTAATACATGATTTATTCTGCAGTACAGAGTAACTTCTAAATACTTACCACATCAAAATTCAGAAAATGACTAATCAGGACAGAATATCAAGTGAGCAGGATGAAATCAATCTGGACCCTCAAGTGAGCTTTACCAATGTTATCTACCATTAAGACATGAATTACATCAATGTGTTATTCTGCTGTGTTCAGTACAGCTGTACTTGGATCTTAATGAGTTTTTACCTACCATATCTATCATTAGGACAGGAACTGTAAGGAAAGAATCACTCTGGCGGGATTGAGTTTTTACCTACCATATCTATCATTAGGACAGGCAATCTCAGGAGAGAATCCCTCTGGCGGGATTGAGTTTTTACCTACCATATCTATCATTAGGACAGGAACTGTCAGGAGAAAATCCCTCTGGTGGGAATGGTGTTAATGTTTCATTCTGTAGCACATGTATAACAATTATACCATTTACTTTCCCTGAGTTCTTTAACTTTTTTACAAAATCTCTGTAATAAAATAATTCAATATATATTAATGCTTATAAAAAATCGTTACTGTTAAATGAATGCAAGAACTCAAATGTTTCTTTCTATAAAGTTAAGAAATAATTATAGATGTAAATATATGTTAGAAAGGCAGGCTGGTTGGCAAGCTTTTCCCTGTTTTGAAGGAAGTAATTTATACATATTACAGAAGCATAAATATTTTATCCCTTTTTAGATCAGAAACCATTAGAAATTAATCTATTTCTATTTGATTCAGAAATACATGTACATCTCTGTAAATATATATTGTTCCTTAATTGAAAGCTATTGTTTAACATTTTTAATTAAATGCCACTGTTGGACTATGTACACTTAGTCACTTCCCGACATACAAAAAGAATTTTTATAGATTTTTGGACAAAACATTTTTAGAAAAATACCCTTCATTGTATATAATAGTTCATATGGATTTTGCATTTTCAAAAGGTCACAGTGAGCAGTTCATATATTTCCACTCAATCAAGTTTTTAACTGAAAATGAGGTCAAGAACATGAGCATATATCACACAGAAACTTCAGAACATCAGGCATCTGTATGCAATATATGAAGTATACAGGTCTTCTACCTTTTGAAATATGAAACTGTATACAAAGAACTAACACTGCCAATTGGTTAGCTATCTATATCTGGAACTTACAATTTGAAATGTAGAGAATTAAGTAGCACAATATATGGTTTATTTGGACCTCTCTTCAGTAACCATTCTGTATCATTATCACCAGTAATGTGATATAAAATACCAACATTCCCCTTTGTTTCAGCTGAAAAAAAAGAAACAAAAGATAAAGTCATCAAATAACACAAAGAAAGAAAAAGAAATAGTTAAAAGTAAGGCTTTGGTCTCTTTGTATTTCACTGTTAAAAGTAAGGCTTTGGTCTCTTTGTATTTCATTGTTAAAAGTAAGGCTTTGGTCTCTTTGTATTTCATTGTAAAAAGTAAGGCTTTGGTCTCTTTGTATTTCATTGTTAAAAGTAAGGCTTTGGTCTCTTTGTATTTCATTGGTAAATAAACAACATTAAAGACAACAACACCCATCAATTACCGCATGGTGATTAATTTATTGTGGTCGACATGTTTCGCCAACAAGCGTGGCGTCTTCAGGACAATATTATACATGAAATCAAACAGTGAAGTACAAATTTTGCGGTTGTGTGGTTCGCCGAACAATAGAGGTTGTTATGACGACGTTATGGATATAAATAGAAAGTGAAAGTGAAAGTAAAATAAGAATCTAGTATAGTTAAAAGAGAAAGTTAGTCAATAAAGTTATTAACGATGTGGTTATCGGCTATTCTTGCACGTCTGTGTAGTGGTCCTCATAGAATGATGGAAGTAGCTCATAAAATGTCAGTTCATTTCCAAATTGGACAACACCCCATTGGCCATCCTGTACCAATCCAACTGGCTTCGCTCCGAGGGAGGTACTGCTTCCATTGAGTTAGTAAAAGGTAAACCTTTTACTAACTCAATGTGTTGTCCAATTTGGAAATGAACTGACATTTTATGAGCTACTTCCATCATTTCTACAATATTACCACTAGAAACTTCTATGAGGACCACTACACAGACGTGCAAGAATAGCCGATAACCACATCGTTAATAACTTTATTGACTAACTTTCTCTTTTAACTATACTAGATTCTTATTTCACTTTCACTTTCACTTTCTATTTATATCCATAACATCGTCATAACAACCTCTATTGTTCGGCGAACCACACAACCGCAAAATTTGTACTTCACTGTTTGATTTCATGTATAATATTGTCCTGAAGACGCCACGCTTGTTGGCGAAACATGTCGACCACAATAAATTAATCACCATGCGGTAATTGATGGGTGTTGTTGTCTTTAATGTCGTTTATTTGCTTTTATAGTGAAAGACAACTGTGAATACCGCGTGGTATCCACCCGCTATTACCCAACCGCACGATAACCACTTCAGGTGTTGGTTCACCATTTTTCAAGTTGAAGTTCATTGGTAAATGTAAGGCTTTGGTCTCTTTGTATTTCATTGTTAAATGTAAGGCTATGGTCTCTTTGAATTTCATTGTTAATGATGCTGCTAATACAGCTTGGTCTGATTCTTACCTAAAATTGTACTTGAAATTAACAGTAAGGATCAATTTAAAACTAACATTTACAAAATGCTTTAGGTATATATCAGGATACATATTAAACACCAGGGGTCTTGATGGTGAAGATAAAATGAACTCTTTAAATGTCTTTTAAGGTTCCACAGATGACCACAGATTTACTCCACATGTTGTAGGTCCAATCCTTTCTTCTTTTATTTGTTCAGGATTTATTAGACTTTTTACTTGTCATGAGCAACAAAACAATGCCACCAAAATTGCTTACCCTTCCGCAGCACCAGAGTTCATGTTGAGTTTTTATTCGAGTTTTTGTTTCTAAACTTTAGTTTTCTGTGTCAAGGGCTTTTTTACTTTTCTTTGTTGTGTTATTATTCTTTTTCTCTGACTTATATTACTTTTTTCACTCATGTACATCTACAAAACAACTCATTTTTTTTAAAAATAAAACCTCTATTATTTCCCTGTTTGACAAATACGTTAAGATGAAAGTAAACTTACATGAACATCCAATCTGATGTGTTCCGTTCATACGTCTAAAACATGCTTTTCCTTGGATTTCAATGTAAGTCTTGTTACTTATTCTCAGACTATGTACTAAAAAACATGAATAGCATGAAAATACACTGTCAAATACTACAACTTCATCAAATTGGACCAATTGCATTCGTATATTTAAAAAATAGGTGAGCATCATTTTCAGCATTGGTATAGTAAATGAAATGATAGAGCAATGTTTATTTGTATTTTTTTATATAAATATTTTCAATGCGTTTTCATTTGTTAATTAAACTTTGTCATAACAGTTGTTATTTCAGAATTGGTTATACTATCTTCCTTCCACATTTGTTTACTTTTTTTTCCATCCACTTTTCTTCCATCTTCTTTTTTCTCTTTGAATTTGTGTCAGATTTCTAATCAGAGGTGACATGTCCATGTTCAATGTAAGGTCCTTTTGTATTTGTGCATTGCGATTGTCAGATTTCTAATGAAAAGTAACATGTACACAGAAAAGCTGTCAGTGGAAAACTGATAATTCAATAGCAGTTCATTTTGTGAAGATTTAGATAAAACAAAGGATTTTTACTTGAAAGAAAATCAATGTACACATGCTTTATAATAAAATTTAGTCAATCAATTATCTAAAACATATATACAGTTTTAATCTTTTGGTTAAATATGAAGTATCATATGGCTTAAAATATATATTTTGTGCAAATACAATGAATAAAACAGTCTGGATATTGGACACTTTTTTATGGTAAGTGTTGACAATAATTTGAGTGGAATTTTAGTGGAACAGGTTGACAATAATATGAGTTGACTTTTAGTGGAACAGGTTTATAATTGTATGAGTTAACTTGCTTATGAAATGAATGACCAACCTTCTGAGGATTAATCAGCAAATTCAGATTTTTCAAAAATACAATGTGCCAATACCATAAGGCCAAATAAAAATATATGTGTGGTTCCAGTTACATGTACGTCCTGGAAAAAAAAAGGGTTGGCAGATAGGCATTTTTTTGGGGGGGATTTTAAAAATCCAGAAAAAAATTGTTTTCACTGTCTAGTTCCCGAGTTATACACGGCCCTTAGGCCAAATGGAATTTCGCCTTTTTCGATCCTTTGGTTGTAAAATAAACAGACATGTTATGTTTTTAGTTAATTTTGTTGCATTCTGTTAAGAATTTGTTGTATTTTTAGCCGCAGTAGATACTTCTAATGGAAATTCAGATTACAGAAGTCTGTGAATATAATTTTTGAAGTTCACATTCCACAAAATGGGAAAGTTCTTTTTCAGAAATGCAAAAGTTCTTGGGTGTCAAGTTTAAACTAGGATTGGTTGGGAACCTGGAACCCACATATTTTTTAATTTGGCCAAATATTGCATATATTTTGTTATAAAGGAAAACTGATTTGAAAAGTTCTAACTTAGTTGGTATATCCTATCTTAGAGCTACATGGGTCTGTTCACCGACGTACCTGTTCATCCACTTAACTATTTGCCTCATTCATGTTTATAATTTTTGTTGTGTTTTATTATAATCATGAGAATTTGTTGAGATCAAACACATTATAATAATACCTAATAAGCATTCTAAATATAAATCAGCTGTCATTTAAATATATACATATTCTAATTAAATTTTTGTTTTCATAAATTAACAATTCATTTACATAAATGTACTTAGGCCAAAATTAATAAATTGTGTGTTTCTGGTCTCACAACCTCAACTCCCTTTCAGACGCCGACCCTAAACATTTTATTGAAGATTTATAAAAAAAAAAAAATTCAGATTTTTCTGTCTTTCCGGATCCGATTCTTTGTTTACAATAATATTGCTATTTTGTGGATTTTTCCTGTTCTCTTTTTTGTGATAATTTTTCATATCACGCTACTCGCTTGAGATGGAAAATTATTGTCAGAGACTAAGTGCACACTTGGTCAATGTTAACATCCTCAACGTCATAGGTAAAATAGCAAATTAACAGATTATCAATGGTCTTTCAAATTCGAGGATGTTTCTCTGCCACATCTCATCTCAGGGCCCTTTGATGAGATTGTTCCTGAGAAAAACCCTCTCATTTAAAAAACCATTGATAATCTATAACTATTGATCTACAAAAAAAAGTGTTTGATTATTACGACTAATACGCATAAGTAAAGCATATCAAGAACCAAGATTTTAAATAAAAAAGCATGGCTTGTCGACAACCGTGCAGTGTATAGGCTGTCAAATATGTGAAATGTGATCACATGGATGCGAAAAATATAATGCAATCGATTCCAGATAATTATGAAATAATGAACCTTTTTGAAGAACATCACGAGGGACCTATAGATGAAAAAAATACAAAGTTGATGTATTTTGCTCAATTTCTTTGGACCAAAAGTCAGAATCGTTCCAGGTTGGACAGGTTGTATCTGTTTGTGAATTGACAAACATTTTTTGAATGTTAAATCAATCCAGCTTTTGTTGTAAAAAATGCTTTTGCGAATGTTGTATAAAATTGTGCTCAGGAAGCAACAAAAATGGCTGTCAATGCTTTGAGCTAATGATGGCAGAGGGCAGAAAAAGAAAAAGAAGCTTTCCCCAAAAGGCAGACTTGGTGTATGATTGATGTTCATTTATAAATGAATCTGCCTCTGCACCATGTCAACTTTTATTCTTTTATATTTTCTCCGGTTGATCCATATCAATTTATACAAGATAAGCAAAAAAATTCATGTCATATTTACAATGTATATCTGCTATTTCTTTAACCAGTATATTAAGACTAAGACCTGGAATTTTAATAATTGTCAGAACCACCCACTCTTCAAGATCCCATTCTGTCTAACATGAAAAACCCTCTTTGTATATTAAATAAAGTGGGTGCAAGGGCAGAGTAATCATAATCAACATCTGCTTAGCATCTGTTCACAATGTTCTCCAATGATGTAGACAGGCTAGAAAAATTCCAATTCACCTCTTTAAAATTTAAAACCTATGAGTAATATCATTGTTCATACACCAAACTGAAAATAACGTTACATCATTAGTTAAATTTCCATTGTTCAGTACGATTAAAACCAATCACAATGCATATTATGTTCTAAAGGGACATAACTCAAGAACTGAAAAAGTGACACCACCCAAATTTGTACTTGATCTGAGTTTTGTGGTAATAAGCATTGTTTATAAGTTTCATTACAATGTAGTTGAGGCAAAATTAAGTTAGAGAACGGAAACGAAAAATTCAGCAATTTTTCCATTTGTAAAGGGGCATAACTCTAGAACAGTAAAAGTGACGCCACCAAAATTCAAACTTGATCTGTGTTTTGTGGTAATAAGCATTGCGTATAAGTTTCATAACATTTGGTTGAGGCAAACTAAAGTTAGAGAACGGAACCAAATTTTGGGACATACGGACGGACATACAAGGGTAAAACTTAATGCCCCCTCCGCAACGGCGGGGGAACAAAAAAAACAATAAAAAAGAAATATGTTATACCTACATAAATGTACCTACCTACCTACTCTACCTATTTTTTTGAAATAGGAAACTCATTATTTATTTTGGACTTCCATTAATAAATTATTATAGGGCAAACTGACACTGGACAAACGAACTCTGTTGGAGAATGGAAACTGGGGAAATGGACCAGGGCTAACAGTAACATGTTATGTTTACCACCTATGGCTATGATCATGATGTTGTGGATCGTGTTTGGAGTTCATTAAAAAGAGTTTGTATATCATACTTTCGTGTCGCCTTTCTCACAGTTTCGTGGATTATGAAAACAATTCTGTACTTTACTTCCGGATATGTATGTAGAGTGACAGATGAAAATGAATGATAATGGTAACCGGGTTAAATATCAAAGAAAAATTAAATGTCGGCTAGAGTTTTGAAGCTAAGAAGTTGCTTCTTAATTCATAATTAAAGATAAAAACTAAACATGTCATTCATCCAATACCTAAAGAAGTGAAAGCTGACAAAATAACTGTAATGTAAATGAAAACATTTCCCACTTCCATTGCATTAAGAATCAACTTCCGGTTTATCAAGGGAGACTACTTTGCATCTTTAAAACTACGTTTATCAAGAGGCCAACAGTATCAGCGCAGTGTGGTGCAGCCGCGTCAGCCGCGAGAGTTAATACCGTAATGATTAAGGGTAAAAGTAAATAGTTTTTAATCAGGTAATATCAAATATACCATAAATAAAAGTTACTACAATTACATATCTATTTGTTTTATCATATGTAAAATCTGGGACATCATGTATGAGGGGCCTGATAGGGGGTCTCATCACGATTCACGAGTTGATTTTTTTGTCAATCACGATTCACAGAAAAAAATATCCATGATCACGGATCACGAAAATATAAAAAAAAAAAAAAATCTGTAGAAAAACGGATCACGATAGCGAAAATGCGCAGATCACGAAGAACGAAAATAACCCATCAGGCCCCTCATGTATAGTTACATTTGTAGTATATTAGTCCCAGGTATAATATACCAATTTTGCTTATATTTTTTGACAGCATTTTATAAAGGAGTTCTTCTCATATTTATAAATCAAAATTCTGTCATTTAGGTTTCTTTTTTTTGAGACTTTTCGGCCGTACTACCAGTTCGTCCACAGGTAGTTTCGGCCACACTATCAGTTCGATTACGGTCGATTCGGCCATACTTTTTCATATTGTTCTTGTGCATTAATTAGATTGACAGAATTTTGCTTAGGAAGGAATTTTACAGCTGGAGGTACGTTGTTGTGAAGCTGGTGGTAGTTGTTGTGAAGCTGGTGCTAGATGTGGTGAAGTTGGTGGTAGTTGTTGTGAAGCTGGTGCTAGTTGTGGTGAAGCTGGTGCTTCAGGTTGGGAATGAAAAATAAACACACTATATCAAAAAGATTCACGTAGTCATGCAATGTTATAATTACAAATCGACAAAATAGTACACTGTGCATTTAATACATGCAAAAACTATTATAATTAACAAAAATGTATATTTTTAAATCGAATCTGAGTCTTCTTTTATTTTTACCACAATGTTTTATTTGTAATTTGATCCTTATTTTTAGTTTTCAAAAATTATAAAATGTTAGAATGTTATTTTAACAGACTTTTTTTCTTTCATACCTTCCAGATCCTATTTTAGGGGAGCTACCCCACATCTAAATCGTGCAAAAGCACTCATTCTGTGTTTAGTTGACAGAATATTTTTCAAATCACGAAATTTCAGTACCTCAACTTCCATTTCTTCTTCACCCAAATTCTGTGGAATATCTACACATTCTGCACAATCCAAATAATGTCGACCTCATTGTCCATAAACAGGCGGTAATTTTCTAAGGAAATATCTTAAATATTATAAAAATCATACATATTTTCAAAATAACTTATTTTCTCATATGCGCAAAACAGGTTATTGCAAAGATAGAATTACTGCCATTTAAAAATGTAATTCTAATTATCTCAAAATCTTCACCCCTCAAAGGAGTAGGCCCAGTAAGACCCCTTTTTGGCCCCAAAATATAGCAGTTTTACAAAATTGTTGAAATGTAAATTTTTAGCTATTTATTGGAAAGAAGAATACTTCTGTTACATAAATATGGGCTGTTTTTGACAATACAATGAACATGTATCGGGTACTAGCATCATTAAATCATGCTAAATTACTGAAATCTTCGAAAATTTAGCATTTTGGTTAATTTTTAGACGGTTTCCGTCTGAAATGGAAGTGGCCGCATTTGTGTTCATTCTTAATATTTAGATGTAAGTTGTATTTGATGATAATACATAACATATATAAAGGTTGAGAATGAACACGGATGCGGCCACTTTCATTTTTGACAAAAACCATCTGAAAAGTGACATATTATGGCATATTTGATAGATTTTTCATATTTAAGCTTGCATTTGAGCGTCTTTAATGACTAAATCAGTTCAAATCTTTCACATAAACTAATTGAATCGACTGAAGTAGACACTTAAGTGTTTAAAAAGTGTCCAAAATCTTTCATCAGATGAACCTGAATTTTGAGGCCAAAATTGGCCCTTACCGGACCTACTCCTTTGTTTATCTTGTTATATTATATACCACTTTTCATTAATAAACATATCTTGTTATAAAAATATATTTTTTTTTATTAAAAATCAACATTTTACGAATATTTTTATAACATTCTTAAATTAAAACACATTGGCAGTATGGCCGAAACGACTGTGGCAAGTCTGGCAGTATGGCCGAAACGACTGTGACCGATACGGCATGTATAACAAAGCAGAAAAACAACTAACAAAAACACAGACCAGACGTGACAGGGAATTTATACATCTCTTACAACACTTGACACAAAGCTTGTTTTCAAGCTCCAGGTTGCTGGAAAAGTTGACACATTTTTAAAGGAATATATAAAGAAAAGCATTATAATTTATGTGACTATAAAAAGAACGTTGCAGGACGAGACGTTTTTTTGTTAGTTGTTTTTCTGCTTTGTATCGATCTGACTTTAACTGATTTTAAGTTTGTTCTTATATTGTATTGTAACACCACTGTCCCAGGTTGGGGGAAGGTTTGGCTCCAGCAAACATGTTTTATGTTTTACTGTTACTTGGATGGAGAGTTGTCTCATTGGCACTCATACCACATCTTCCTATATCTATTAAACCCGCCACAAGTTCTTTATATGCCTGTCATAAGTCAGGAGCCTGTAGTTTAGGGGTTGTCGTTTGTTCATGAATGTCTGTCATATTTGTTTTTCGTAAATTTTTTGTTATAAATTAGGCCGTTAGTTCAATTCTCAATTGAATTGTTTCAAGTCAGGCCCGGGCTTTTTATTTCCGACTGCACGGTATGGATTTTTTTTCATTGTTGACGGCCGTACGGTTATATATAATTGCTTACATCTACTTCGTAATAACTTTGGTGGATATTTGTCTCATTGGCAATCATACTACATCGCCTTTGTTTTGAATGGATGATCTTGCACGATATAAATTGCATTTCGGTACAAACAAATTCTGTCACTGACTATTTATACCTCCGTTCTATCATGGCTTCTTTTGTAGTAAAATATGTAATCTTGGTTTTTGATATCTGGATAGTACTAACGTCAAACAACGTCAATAATTGAGTGCTTTGTCATAATGTCCCTATAACTTTCAAAATTCAATTTTGTTTTTGTTTTACCCAAGGTATTCCACGAACCTTTTGTTGGGCACTTGTTACCCTTTGTCAATCAAGTAATATCACCCGGATATTTTTTTCCTTTTTTTAAAATCCTTGACAAATACCTCTTTCAAAGTAGAATTTTTGGCTGTCATTTATTTTAATTCTCCACCTTTTGCTGTTTTGTGTTTTGACTTTTTGGTGCTTTAACCTTTTATATTAAGTGGTAGTACCTTTGGTCATTTCCTTTCTTTTGGACTATTGTGGATTTATTATTATTCGTGGGGGTCTAATTTTCGTGGATTGTGTGGGTTTTATTGTTTTGTGTCATTGAAGTGTAGTAGTTTAACTTATGTATTTCGTGTTGTTATTATTTATTGTGAAATAAGTCGAGCACCAAAATCATCGTTAGGATTGAAAAGTTTAAAAGTCTTTGCATTAACCATATATGTAGCTCCATAAGGGGTGGGTGGATGAATGTTAGGTGCATGGTTATGTTAAAACTAAATTGCTGCAACTGTAGTTCTGAATTTACACAAAAATGTGATTGTTAAGCCTATATAAGGATGAATCGGGCGTTTGGAGAACTATAATTCTAGTTGAATCTGGACCGAGTTGTTTCATGATTGTAAATCTGCACTAATTCAACGCAACTCTAGTTGTTTTGTCAACTTTCTCCAACAATATTCCCTTCCCAATTGTCCTTTGTGTGGGTTATCATGTTTACTGCTGAAACTATTGTCAAAAGAAAAGTGAGAATGTGTTCTTCTGTTGTTGCTGAAGATATTTTGTCCTTAGGTAGAACAATAGTATTGGATGTGGTAAATATTTTAAAAGTATACCAATCTAATGCTATAGATCAAATCTTTCACACTGCTCCGTTATATTTGTCTGCCGCAACAACAAAAATATAGTGGAGGAGAGTTTGAGTACTTCTTGTCAGCATGGTGCTTTGATACCCAATAGTGACACATGCCAATATAGGAGTTTTCTTTATTTCATCAATACTGAACGTAACAGAAATAAGGACATCTACCCCACAATATCTTGCCACCTTTAAGATAAATGTCATAAACATTAAAAAGATATTGTTTTTATGGTTTATAAAAGGACGTTTTAGACATCAAACCCGGCGTGTTCGATAACAATTTTTGTGGTTAAACAACAGAAGAGTATACCCTAAAGTGGGATTCGCTTTCTTCGGTCGATAGTTTTCTGTGGACAGTTGTTAGTGTCAAAAGAAACAAACTATGGGTCATGTCATGTATTTTTATTATTACATATTACTTTTTTCAAAATTAAATATTAATCAATTAATTAAAAACTAATCATATTATGCTTTGTTTGATGTATTTAATTTTATTTCGTGCTTGAACATTATGATTGCGATGTGGGCGCCGTGATTGGCAAATAAAATGTTTTACGGTGTATTTGTTCTTCACCATAAGACATGTGTATACACAATATCCCAAATAACTCCTAATCTATAAAAGCTGTGAAACAATAAGACAGAAACGATAACGATAACTGATTTGTCATCAGCCCAAAATCTTTAAGAAAACAATTCCAACAAGAATGTGTCCATAGTACACGGATGCCCCACTCGCACTATCATTTTCTATGTTCAGTGGACTGTGAAATTGGGGTCAAAACTCTAGTTTGGCATTAAAATTAGAAAGATCATATCATAGGGAACATGTGTACTAAGTTTCAAGTTGATTGGACTTCAATTCATCAAAAACTACCTTGACCAAAAACTTTAACCTGAAGCGGGACAGACGGACGGACGGACGGACGGACGGACGGACGGACGGACGGACGGACGAACGAACGAACGAACGGACGCACAGACCGAAAAAAAAACATAATGCC